CGAAACGCAGACGAGTTCGAAGTGTCTTTGCAATTTTCGGCCCGTTGGCTGTCATTGGAATATTCTATAAAAGATTGGAAGAAACCGTGCATAAGTACGAAATACAAATCGGTGACCGGTGACTACTGAGTATTGACTACTATCCAGTCGGTCAAGTCTATTATTTATTCATATTTCATAACAATAAGTTATTGTTGTAATTTATAATAAAATAATGTAATATATTATAAAATATTTTGTAGGTTTATGATTATCAATTACCTAATACTTACCAATCTTATAGCAAATCTATGAACCTGATTATGAACTCAACACTTTCAAAGTTGAATAAAAGTAACTGCATAAAAAATTGCAATTTGGTATGTAGATATTACATAGGTAATTATCTAAATGTTAATACTTAATTATAAATATTTTTAGATTTGCTTGAAAATTTCAAAAAATAAATTATAATTTTAGATCAATCAAAAGATACCACTTAGATAGGCGCATTATTTAATTAGTTATCGAGTAATAACAGGTTCAAAATTAACCCAATATTATGTTTGATAATGATCTAATTAAGTACTTATGAATTATTCATAAGTATATACTACTTTTAAAACTACAGAGAAAATTATAATCGATTGATATCGTCAAAGCCATAGGGGTAGAAAGAAAGGTCCACAAATATCACTTCTTCTTCAACTATACATTTATTCAAAACAAAATTATAATATGCATAAACAAAAAAAAATAAGAATTAATTTAATTATTTTTTAGTTATTTTATTATATTATTTATCAGGATTTGAAACTTTTACATTTAAATTTACGAAAAAATAAAACAACAATAATTTAAATATGTATATAAATATACAAGGTAGGGTACTAAAATGGCTGATTTCTAATCAAATTATAAAATGAAAAACGAATAAAAATTATTATTTATTATATTAAAGAACATAACTTACCATTTATTTAAAAATAAAAATGTCCTCAAGACGATAGCTATTTCTTCTTAAGCACTCATCTAGCCTGATTCGTATATTTTCCATTATACATCGTATCACTTCCAAAAGTGTACTGGAAATTTCTTCTTTAATTTTGTTTTTTATTTTAACAATATTCAAATGTTTCTGTGCATATACTTTACTTTTTAAATATTTTAATAGCCTTAGTCGATAGTACCGAATCATGGCGTTTAAGATTAAAATGAAGACGAAAAATGAATGCTGTGTGGCTACGTAACTGTCATTTTTGTAAAATGATTTTATCACATAAGTACATTGTTTATCATTTAACTGTTCCATGTTTACTAAATAGTAAATGGCATGTTGTCTTTGAACTAATAATATTTAGTGAGAATTCTTACAACTAAGAAAAATCAATTTTTAAAATCAGCTGTTTTAGTGTCCCACTCTGTACTATTAAAATAATTTATAATATAACAAATACAGTACCCCGAAAAAAGATCACGAAACCAATATATTATTGTAAATAAATAATATCACCATAAATTATTATTGCATCTGTTAAATTCAAATACACCAATAATTAAAAAGAACAAGACAGTCAGTTGGACTGAAGGAGTAAAGAAAGTAGTAGGATTAAACCATACGAAAAATAATGTAATAATTTGTACTATTATATTATTATTGTACATTATAATTTATAAGTACTATTGTACTTTAATAGGCGTATTTGATTTAAACTACTCTGATAAATCGCATTCGTTCGTGTAAGTATAAATCGTTTAACGCAAACAAATTCGTGTTAAACGTATCGGTTTACACAAATTTTTTTAACACTAACCGGTCATTTTGTGGTCCCGTCGAGTTCGTGTTAACGTGGGAGTACTGTAGATTATTATAATCGAGAGTTTGAAGATCATCTTCAAGGTATTTCATTTAATATATACTTCCATCAATTAATATACATATTTTATTATTTATTTTTTAATTTTATTTTTTTAATACTTATATCAATTTTATTAAATTATACATATTTTTATCAATTCTACTGTAATATATTACGTTTACATGCACAGCTAAAACTAATTTAACTTAATTCTAATTAGTTAACTCTTGGAGTTAAATGCATATAAACAGCTGTTCAATTGGTTTAATATAAATTCGGTTTACCTAAAACGATTTAGTTAATTCACATTTGAAATGCACATTGGAAATAACTACGAATGTAGAAAATACATGTAAACGGATCACACTTGTACATTATAACCGAATCAGGATTGCGGCAGATAATAAATAAATTATGATAATCCATCTATAGAATATGGTACGTAATTGCGACAAGATGACAAGGTATAATATTATTAGACGCCATCAGTTTTTACAGTAGTTATAATGTTCATTATTTTATTATAATAAATAATTTTATGTTATTACACATATTTTTTAGTATTATCGCATTATTTACATAAATTATAATTATCTACCATCGGGCAGCCGCCAACGGAATAATTAATATTTTCTTTTTTTATGATGAAAAAAGAAATTAGATTACTAATCCGAATTAAGGTAAATCGGTTTAAACTGTGTATGTAAACGTTGCAACATAAACTTGTTTGGTGGAAGTGTGTTATACTATTACGAGTAATACGGTTTTAGACGTGCATGTATACTTTAAAACGAATTGATTTAAGAGTGATAAAGTTAATTTGAATCAATGGATTCATAAACAAGGTATATATAACAATATTATGCTTTGAAATTTGAATTATATAAAATTATTTATAACTATTATAAAATTTTAATCATTAATCAATATTGTTTATTTCTAACTAAATTACTGTTATATTTCATACTGGCGATATTTATTCCATGCTATATATTGGTTTCGTGATATTTCAGTTGCGATATTTTACTAGCGATATTTTGTCGGTAATTCAACAAATAATACTATATATTCAGTAAAGTTAATTCTACCGATCGTATAAAAGGTAGTAAAATTAGATAGTATAATATAGCAGCATAAATTTATTACTTAAATAAAAATATATGCTTAATAATATAGGCTGATATAATATCTTCGTTCAGAATTATTTTTCAAATGCAATGATTTATTATCAAATTATTTGAATTCAAATTTAAAAATGCATTATTCAATGACGACGAAGTACACTCAATACTTATTGGCTAATGTATAACAGAGGAATCACCTATTTTTTACCTTTTTTTTTAATTTTAAAATATTTTTACACGCAATACCCATTTTTTCATATATTTTACGACTGTGAATTTGTATTTTGATAATAATCATATTTTAAGTTTATGAACGTAAAATAGTTAATAATTTATTAAAAGAATATTTATTAAGCAAAATAATTTTTTTTTTGTACTTCCAGCTATGTAGGTAGATATACGCTTTTTTGCTTTCTGTATTATATTAATAATATCTAAATTGCAATCCCCTCTTATTGATTTAAATCCTACGAAATTTTAAAGATTTATATTTTTTCAAAGGTATTGGTAATTATGTACTATTTATCTGATTTTGATAATATGTGTGTGTTTTTTGTGTATAAGTACACGATAAGTTACGGATAAAATGTTTTTATTTTCACTTTTAAATGTGATTTTGGATTGAAAATTGGATCTACTTAGTACTTTGAAGAGGTCAAAATAAAAAACCCCACTTTATTTATTTTTATAATTGGGGAAAACAATCAAAAATTAAAAAAATTCGGAAATTTTCACGCTAAACCAACATTTGACTAAATTGATTCCTTTATTTTGCTAAAATTCAATACCTAACGAATAATCACAGAAACTTTGTTTATTAACTATTTATAAACAATTGAAATTTTTATTTTTTTTTATAAATCTCAGTAAAAAATTTATAAATAGGTAAAAATTGTTTCCTATTAAGTGGTTCATTTCCCAATTAAAAATATCAACAATTTATAGTCACAATATTTTTATAAGCATATACCTAAATTAAAAATTTTGACAACATTTGTGGAAATATTGAAAAACACACAAGAACTTCCGTTTTATTAGACCTTTTATTTAAAAATTTAATAGAAGGTTCTTTATAAGTTTTTCAACGTTTATAAAAAATAAATTTTATTAAAAAGCCAAAATAATTTTTTAAGAAAATTTGAAGTTCAAATTTTATGGTATTGAATATTCATCTGTATAACAACAATTTATTTTCAAATAATTTTTCGATATAATTTAAAAATTAATAACCATATATACTTTCAGGGAATTTTTATGTTATCATTTTTATTATATGTTAACATTTTCAAAATTTTAATTAATTTAAGATACTCGAGTAATTGGTGAACTATTGTTGGAATGGATTCGATTTTAGAATTCGCGCAATTTAGTGGAGGTAATCGAACAACATTAGCCTACATTTAGAATAATAAGTCCCAGTCAAACTATATCACGATCTAGACAAAAATATATTTAAGTATTATTATTATTTTAGTATATTTATAGTTATAGAACATATATCATAGTTAATAATTGTGGTATACTTAATCTTAAACCTATTAAAGTTAAAATCACAGGAGACTGCTCACAATCAATAGTTTTTTTTTATCGGGGAAATCATGGTCGAAGTAAATACCTAATTCTTCACTGTCGATACTCGATGTATGTATAACTCATAGCTGCAGATTTGTGTATTGTCGGTGTATTGTACTATTGTGTAGATACTATGTATCTATATCGTCAATTAATAGAATTTATAAGTTTGATTTTATATGGTACATTAATTTGAAAATAAAACTTAACACTTACGTTTACTCTAGTTATACTTGATTTTAATGGAATATAATTTCTCTTTGAGTTTTCTATCTTTAGCCATATTGTGAGTACAAGTTGCCAAAATAGCATGTCGTATGAATTTCTAAATTAGATCCGTTTTGTACCTTCCATTTGGGATAAACGCATAAGGGAAATATAACCTGCAGGACAGGTTTATTTGAAGTCACTTCTTGAGGAGCAACCAGTTTTATGGAATTAGATCAAGCTCGGAAACTGGTCACTGTTGTTGGTCCAAAACATTCAACTCAATAGTATCAGCACTGACGTAGTATATTAACGTTCCTAAATCTGAACCGAAGTGTTTTAAAGTTTTAAAATTACAATGTTCGTTTGTGAATAAACAAAATTAATAGTTTATTTTTTAATGAATTTTAGTCGTTATAGTAGTCAAAATTAGAAGCTGATTTTATCGTGATATCACAAAAATGAGGTAAATATAAAAATATTTCGTATTTATTATTCTGAAACAAGTTGAATAGGTAAGCGTACTGATGAACTGATGAATAGAATGTTATGTATATTTATTTAGATTTAGACTTTTAATAACTACCATAGAAATAGTGCAAAACTGAATCGTAAACCACATCAAATACATAATTCATTGTTGATATTTGTGAAGTTGAATAGTTTAAAGTTATATAAATATTATCTCATAGTAGTTAATATTTAATATCCATTTAGATACCCCGGTGATCAGAGTTTGTTATCATCCATAACTTTTTACCTACTATTATTATATTTTTTTGAAAATCTAATGTGTAAATCTGTAAGCTATCTCAATAAATTGTTTATTTTAGATTTTTAAGAAACAAAAAAATAATTATTTAAATTTTATTGTTTTGGGTTTACATCATCAAAATAATATAGGTAATTATTATAAACTATGGCAATTATGCCTCTATAATGTAGAAATTTTTAAATAATTATCTAAAATCATATTCTAAAAGAAAAAATCATTTAATGTTTTTAGTTTTGCTCATACTCTCAATACAATGATCATTATTGTATTTTTTTCACGGGCGAAGTTTAAAAAATAATTATAATTAAAATTTTTTAAATGACTATAATATTTTTACACACCTTATTTTTAAATTTTAAGGAAAGTGATAAATATTTTGGTTTTACAATAATGTGATTTAAAATGTTTGTATTTTATTATGTTTGAAAATACTTTTTTCGAGTAAAAAAATGTTCTAATCATTAACTTTGACAGATATCTCTAGTAAAAAATTGGATCTAGCTTGTACTTAAATTAGGTTAGGATCCAAAGTAGAAATTTCTTAGTAATTTTTAAAATAATAAAAAATCAAAAAAAAATAATCAGTGTTGAATTGTCAAAATTCTGCAAGTAGTTAACCAATAAATCTAAAACTCGTGTTATTTTAAAACTGATTACTAAATGTTATAGGTACTTATACCTTTTTTTTTAATATAAGTACTTATTTGAATTTAAGAAACATTTTTTCCATTTCTATAAATGGGTAAAAATTGAAATAATATTAATATCCCAAAATATTTCCTAAAATCTCAATGAAATATGGTATAAATGACGTAAACAAATTCTTCACTTAAATAGTATGCACTTGATATATTTGTGTTTTTAGAGTTAAGTAACAGATAACGTATTGTATCACCCAGCAATAAAAAAAGATACAAATACATTGCAATTTGACATTTGAACCTTGTATAGTATGTAATTGTACGCACACTATTAAATTCACAAAAAAAAAAAAAAACTGAACTCTTGTGTATTATTTATGAATTATATAAGCAGTGGTGTAACATAAAATTTGGGCCCCTAAAATATTTTTTAGGTATATTAGTTTAAAAACATTAATCTAATATTGGTAAATAACTTTTTTTAATTACTGTTTTGCTATGATATGATAAAAAATAGCAATATTTATTTAATATTACACAATTATTACTAAATGTTTTTAAACATTTTATTGAATTATTTTATTTGAATTAATTTTTCTGAGCAAACTTGTCAATTAATATGCGTTTATATCTAAACTGCACATTTTCTCGTTTTCAATACTCAATACACTTAAATCTATTAAACTCTGTTGTACAGTAGTACTTATTAATTATTCTTAGTTAGTTTTAATTTAGAGAACGGAATTTTGCTGTAGCTGATGTTACTTGTATATTAAGAACTAATTTTAAAACGGTGGCTACTTCCGGAACACTTGGTAACATACAATTATTTTAAACAATCAATAATTTAGCTAATTCTTTAACGCTAGAATCATATTTTATATTTTTAAATAGAACCCTTTTGAATGAAAGTATTTGTTGTAAAAATGATAAAGATAATACTGTTCAACTAAAATTTTAGCCAAATGGGTCAATACTGTATCTGAATATAGTACTGATTTTTTGGGAAAAATAAATTAAAACTTATTCATAATATTATTTATAGGTACCCATAAAACGTGTACAAAGTTGTAAAATTATAATATCTACATTTGTGTTAAATACATTGATTTTGAAATTGTTTTCGGGATCAGTTAATCTTTGGTCAGTACCTACAAAGTTTGTCGGCAAATTTTTTTTTGATTGTCTATTCCTTTTTTTCGAAAACTGTATTTATGCACCATTTTTCTGCAATTGTGATTGGTTCTGATTTTATTTAAGAGTAATAAAACGTTTAAGCTTTAATATTATTATTATATGTATTTCCTCACGATAAAAATATTATTAAACATTTACTAAACGATTACGAACATATTTCGTGTAATAGATTATTATAAACATAAATTACCATTTTTAATTTGAAAAAAAAACCTAACCTTTTCGCGGCAATTAAATTTACATTAACTAGAGGTGCTAAAATTTACCATGTCCCTCCCCCGCAACGCGTGGTCTGCGGGCTTTCAGTTACGTCATTCATAAGTTTATTATCATTCAAAGTTAGAACTGTTTGAAGTAGCGATAAACATTAGTATTGTTATTATTATACACATTTTTCAATTACAATTTACAAGTACATATAATATTAATAAATATTTTTTTGCTTTTCTATTCGCGGTCCTTTTAATATTTTGTTGCTTAAGTATTTTTTAAATCTATGTGAATATGATCTATAATTTTTTTTCTTTAGATTATTTTTTGACTTGTTATATATAGAATAATTAATTTTTATAAGTTATTAAAAAAAAATATATGTTAATAATCTCAAATTACTTCTGAAATGATTAAAACTGTTAAATTTAATACCTACCTAGAATTATTATTAAAGAAATTTGCTTTTTATAAAATATATTTTTATTGAAAAATGTAATAAAAATATTATACGAGAGAAAAGTTTAAATTAATTGATAATCAGATATATGCAAATGAAATGGAATATATATTAGAATATATTTATGTTGTATCAACTTATCAAAAAATGGAATGAAAATAAAAAAGTTTTAAGTATCAAATGTTTATCAAATGAAAGTCTCTAAAGCTAAAATTACAAAGCCAATTAATTTTAAACAGGATTCATTTAAGATTGCGTAGGTATGTGTAGTAGGAAAGTAGTTTTCAGCAGTTAATGGACAAATGGTTTTATTTGCTTTTTAACTTTTATATCATGTTGTAAATAATATAATAAAGGAAGCAGCTAGTATTAAGAAATTTATAAAAAACACATTGACAGTGACACTGTAACCTAGACGGTGATCTAAACATGAGATGGTTTGAACTAGCACATATATTGTACATATAATACGATAATATAAAAGTAATAGTACCCATCTATAGGAATAAAAAAAACCATACAATGGTTTATTTTAACTGTTTTATTTCATATAAGATACACATGCCTTGGTATACGATTTATTTTCATAATATTAGGTGATCATTGTATCAATATTATACCTAAATTAAATTTTATGAGTTTTATACTGAATTCATGTTAAAAATTAAAAAAATATATCAAATATTTGAATACACATTTTTAAAAACAGTAATTATTAGTTAAATAGTATAGGTACTTATAATTATGTTTATATAATATATGAAAATTGATGGGTAAAATTTGTTGTTTACAGTATTTTGATTTTTGAATCATTATTTAAATTTAATAATTAATTATTATTTATGCTTACGGTTTAACGAAATAATAAATAAAACTGGATACGACATATTGTGTGTTTCAGCATGATTAAATTGTGGATTGTTGTGGTTTCTTGTTTTTCCGTCGGTAACTGTGCCGGGGAGAGTAGAAAGATCGACGAAGCGCAGTATAAAAATCACCGGACGTCGTCTCTCGGAAACGATACGGCTCAGAATCACGCTATGTTACATAAGACTCATCCGGTGTATCCAATACAAGTTCACGCCAACTTGTCGAATGTCAAAGACTTTGGAATGGTTAAGTTACACACAGAACAAAAGCAGACGTCAAAAGCTACGGAAGTGTCATCGGATATGGTGCAAATGTTCTTCACTACGACGACTGTGGGCAAGAAGAAACCGCTGCAGGGTGCTGCTATTAGCACAACTCCTATTCCTAGCCCAACAGTTCCGACTACAGGTTCTATTTTTAGGACCGCAGCACCGTCCACGTATATCGTGACTGCTAGAAACAGCGTATCAACTGACACCAAAGACTTACCGCAGAAGTCACCAGTTTATTCGGGACCAAGATCCGAGGTCGAAGTCAAGTACACAACTTCGTCGGTGGATTTTCGAGGAGTGCCAGCGATTAATGAAAACGAACCAATAACCAAGACAAAAGTTAATGGCTCGAAAATCAGACGGGTTTTGAAGACACAAAACCAGGCATCACAGTCATCGATTGTCTTCACCACCACTACTACCCCGCAAATGTCACCTTCGTTCGCCAGTAACAAGCGAAATTTCACCTCGTTCGCGATTAGCGCCAAGGTGAACACAACTGCGGTAACATCATCGAAACCGTTCGCGACCGTGCTGGTACCCAAATACGTCTTGGATAGCGGGGTCTTTCATCAACAAGAAGACTCGTTTCGTCCAATTGTGCCTCCAATATTCACGCCTTACAAATCACCCAGCGTCGCAGTTGACACGAACAGTATTGTCGAGAACAGACGGGTATCGGATGCCGCAGCAGGCAAAAACAACCAACCATTTGCGAACCGAGCAACTGCCGGAACAACCGTGCTGAAATTGAAAAATTACGGGCACACGAAACCACTCACGTACAACTCATACAAGGTAAAAGAATATGTACCGAGTGATGTGCAATCATCCATCATACCCAACCATAGTTACAGTGAGGAACAGGACAGATCCGACCGCTTGTCAGTCATTAATAAAAAACGTGACATCGAAAAGTCGTATATGCGGGACCATCATTCTGCATCATCGTACTATGAAAACGAGCCGCTACATGATGGTCCTCCAAAAAAAGTAGAAACTTTTAAATATGGATTCGTTGAACCGAGGGAAGAACCGTTTAAAAGTGATAGCAGCCCGATGCAAATCCGCGAATTCTATCAGGCCACTGAGTGGCCAGGTCCAGTTAAATATGAAAATTTCGATGAGAGATCGCCGACTTTATCATCTGGATTAGTTCACATGCCAGGACCGATATCAGAACCACCATCTAAGGAATACTTCAAAGCCTCCCCCTCCAGTTTTTCGCTTCCAAACTTCCCCAAAACGCAATCCAACGGCCCGGAGCTTGTAATGGGTGACCTGGACCCCAAGGATGTATTAAAATCACTCCTGCAAGACATGCTTAAGTCTAAAAAACCAGCTGAGATCAAGCCGAAGTCGCCAACCTCCATGGATGAAATCATCGATTCGTATGTCAACCAACAAAACGTAGATTACACGTCACAGGACAGTTTTAATATACAAACAGGTGAGTTAAGTCATTCAATGTATAGTAAGCTTATGTGTATACGTACCTACAATAATGATAGTTTAATACATTATCCAAATTATGTATGAAAATGATACTGCATGGGGAGATGACGAGATGTAATTTAGTTATTCGAACAATGCGAACATTATATTAATATTAAACAGTTTGACAGATACCTAACATGAATTTATATTAATTTACGGTAGGTAGGAAATCGTTTTTAGTTAGTCTTCAATGACATTATTGAATAGGAAAAGTTTAATATTCTTTTTAAACAATTTGAAACCATACCATATCAAGATTCTAAGTAAGTAATAAAAAAAAAACAGATTGTAGATCATTTTTCGACTCTAAATTTTATTTTAGTTTAAATTTTCTTCGACATAAGTACCAACTTTTTAATTTTAATTAATCGATTAAACATAAGTTAAAATAAAAATGTGCTATTTTTTAATTTATTGAACATTTTAAACTGAATTAATACAGTTTTTAAAATAAATAAATATACTTATGTCTTAAAATGATTGTATGTTTTATAAAATATAAGAACGACATTTTGTGGGAGGGGCATAAACCGTTAACCCCCTCCTCCCGGGCAAAACTACTGCTAACAGTAACTACTTATATCGAACCAGTCTTAATCTTAGTGGCACACCAAAAAAAAAACATTTTTGTATGGTATTTTAGTCATATGGTAGTAAAGTAGGTGGTTTAACTAAAAAAAATTGGATTTATTTTGTTATTTAAATAAATTTACATAAAAAAATATGTTAAAACATATCATTTATCATTAAATAATTATTAAACACGTGAATAAATACTTAATTCAGTGAATATTTTTCATAATATATTACATGCATATTTTGTAGCACAATCATTACAGCTCTGCCCAAACAAGCGAACACCTTATAGCTCTGCTACACAGGTTTATCTCTCTTCCATCTATAATAAATACAAAATAATCAGTTTATTTAACGATATACAGTAAAACCTGTCTTGTGCAGAATTGCACGGGACCAATAAAAATTTCCGTTTTAGGCAGGTTTTCTTATAAGTTATAACTGAATAAAACGGAAAATTCCGTACTATAGAGTTACGATATACTGCACGATTAAAGTTGTAACATTTTCCGGTCAATAATAAAAATAAAAATATTAAAAATTAATAAATATCATAGGCTACAATAAATTTTAATTTTTAGTAAATAATTATAATAACACTATTTCCTTTTTCACTTTCTTCGATTACTTTAATTTTTTCATTTAAACTTAAATAAATTGTAGGTATTGTGAGAACAAGTAGGTAAGACGATACGAAACGTCAGGTAAACTTCGACTACGGTGACAATAAGAAGTGCTAATTTATAGAATCAAGATAAAATTTAGTTATCTATCGATACGTATTAATCGCTGACCTTAATAATTGTTTAGTAGCAAAATAAATGTGGGCATCAAAAATATTTTTGATCATTTTATGATGTGTTTTTCCGTTTGTTAAAGGTATATATGATTTACGGGACCAAAATATAACTTTCCGTTTCACGTAAAATAGGTTCCGTTTTATCAAGGGTTTAATCCTATGTTAAACTATAACAATCTGCCGGGACCATAAAAAATTTCCGCTCAGAACAGGAATCCGTCTTATCAAGGGTTCGCATAAGACAGGTTTTACTGTAATATTTATTAAAAATCTTTAGGCTATTTTTAAATAATATATAAGTTACGCATTTTATAATCTAATAATTCAATGGAAAGAATATACAGTAGAACTTCGATTAACCGTCACTGTCGGGACCGGGGCTATGACGGTTAATCGAATAGACGGTTAACGGAAATTTTGCAAAAAAAAAAACGTGTACATACATATACACACATTTATTATACTTTTACGTGTGTGTACTTTAAAAATAATACATATAAAAAAAATATAACATATAAATAAATTGAAACACGACACATAAACTACGAAAACACTAATACACACGGTACACACTTACACGTAGGCTGTACGTCGGTCACTGATTAAATTACAATACATACACACATAAATTTATAGTTCGTTTATCATGTTTATCGTTCATATTGGATATGTACATATTAAAAACTATTTTTATACACTTTATAGTTACTGTGTTGGGCACCACGACGAGTTTATCACAATCGTCTAATCGCCTAATTATTTTATTTTTTCGGCGATGACCGATGACGGATAACAGAGAGTGACGGTTAATCGAAGTTCTACTGTACTAAAAGTTAAAATATCACAGCATGTTGTTTTTTTCGTTATTTCATATATAATTATTTAAATGAATTTAAAAGATTTATTAACACAAATTCCCGATATAAATCCCGAAATTTAATTTCTCCAGTCTCGAATTACTATTTACTATAGTAATGACAAATACATGTTAAAAGGATAAAGATGACGATGTCAATGAAGGGATTGTTGTAAAGAGAAAGGTGTTAGAGTTAATAATTGTCTAAATCGGTTCGAAATTACCGATAAATAGTATTATATATTTTATATTCTGTAGAAATCGGTTATAACGAGTTTCAAGGGATAGCTAGTTTTTTTTCGTTGTAACCGGTTGCTCGTTATTTTCGAACACGTTAGAACGAGCGTTCATTGCTAAAGTTAGGTTAAGATATTGTGTCGTTGTCAGAAGTGCTGAATTCAAGATACAGTGCATTTAAATATTTCTATCTTTATTTTTTCAGCCAACTGGTCAGTTTTTATTTGAATAATATTAAATAGGATCAGTTATAGGCAAACTCAATACTCGTTAATGTTTTGTTTGAATCATAATAGCATATAGCTTCTTCAAGTTATTTATGCTGTGCAATACGCAGTCATTTTGCCTGAAGTAGCATGGTTTGAAACATATTCTTCAATGTATCCCGATTTTTCCATATTATTGATATTGTTGACGAAGAGATACCGAATTCTTGTTTATAATATTCTTGAAATCACGTTATTTTTCTCACCATTTTCTTATCGTCTGATTTCGCTATTTTTTCATACAACGTAAACTGACGAAGACGTGACATGATATTACTAACACTATTGTACATTTTATAAACTTAAAAATAACATACGCCTTGTATCATATGTATTGTAAATCAATGTGTACACAATAAAGATAAAATACAGAAATGCAGTATAACGAGCAGGCCGATCAACTTAAATAATGGAATAATTAGTGCACAATAGGAAAAAGATAACGATTAGCTCGTTATGACCAAATATTTATTTTATAATTCAATGTATTTTATTCATCATAGCCGATATCCCGTAATAACCATACTCGTTGTAAACGAATATTTTAATACATAATTATATGGGATCGTGCCGGAACCTAAAGTTTTCCTCGTTGTATGAAGTATCTCATTCTAAGCAATGCTCATATATAGTGATTTCTTCTATATATGTATTCATGTACTTGTGAACTTACTTCAATGGCATATTGCATACGTGAATTAGATATTGGAAAAAATTGCGGTAGTTTACGAAAAGTTTATGTGTTAACGCATGGATAACAACAACAATCAATTAGGACATAGGTGATCCTAATTTAATTGTTGAATTAGATGAAAGTCTTTTCGTACACCGGAAAAATTATGAATAATATTTGAAATTTTAGTGGGACGTTTAATTTAATCCTCATAAAAATGTAATTAAATATTGGACTGTTTTTCTATATGATTAAATGCAGTTAAAATATGTGGTAAAAGCTTAAATTCCGAAATTCATGCGCATAAGTACCTAATTTGTAAAATCATACTCATTTCGGTAAAATAATGTAATTTGTACACGTGTCTAAACACATATTTCGTTCATTTATAAATGTTCAATTATTGGCTCGAAAGCATGGCAATTCGTTTATTGTATCATAATATATTTTGTCCTAGTGAGTACTTATATTCATATCTTTTTGACAAAATGGAATAAACAGAACGATCAGTAGTACTACAGTATTTATTATTTTTAACGATATTGTTAAAATGTCAGACACTTAAATTAATTTAAAATAAATTAGGGACAGACATTTATAGGCAATACACATTAACTAATTTAAGTGACCAGTGGAGGTTAGTTTGTATGTGTCGCTGGTTATGAGCGAAACGATGAAGACAATTATAAATTGATACGGTCTAAACAATTTGCGGCTTGCACCCCTGAAATTATGCTAATATGTAAACTGTCGTTCCTGGAATTTCTATACCAGGCTAGTAAATAACATGATACCGATGAAAATCTTTAAATAGTTTTATGATTTTCTTATATCTTAAAATTAAATCTGATTTCTAGACATATTGTTGTCGACAATAATATCGCAGTCTTAATACTTTTCTACCGTAGAAACTATAGAAACTGGTTCACCTAGTTTTTAAACATCTGATATACGTACGTACAATAAAAACTCAATCTTACCAAGAGTTTAATAACCTAACCTGCAACAATATCTGCTCATCGTATCAGATCCTAGTGTCATTTTTCATACGTCATGGACGATCAATTACAATTTCATTGACCTTGTACTCAACTCGTTTGCACATGTTTATTTATCATTTTATGTATAGGTACAGTTATATATTTATTTCAACTTTTTTTTTACTACATTTATCTTTAATAATAATATAGTATATGTTATAATCTACAAAATAAAAATATATTTATCTGCTGTCTAAATAATTAGCTATCCATATAGACCTTAATTTTTTAGGTACTTAATCTCTTAATAAACGTGAAAAATATCTTTCAACTCGTGATATTTTTATTTTTTATAAGTTAATTTTTATAAATACACTTTATTATATAACCAGTATCTTATAGTATATTCTAGTAATATTATAGTATATTATAGTAAATTCCTTTATATTGAATAGTGAATAATTATAAAAAAAAAAAACAAATTCTATAAATTATCCTAAAATGTGTATGCATAGGCACAATTTAGTGGGGCTATTGGGTGTGCTTAGCACCCCCAAATTTTTTCATGTTCATTTAGATTTTAATAGTAACGTGTATCCATAACTTTAAAACAACATAATAAAAATAGACAGAGGAGCATAAGCATCCCCTATTTTTTCATTGAAATTGCGCCCCTGAGTGTATGTGATACACTTAACCAATAATAATATTATTTGTATTATAATTAATAGTTTTGCCCATTAAACTTGAAATATTTAAAGTTAAAATAATATTATGGGATCAATAATGCATATTTAAATTTTAAATTGTTACTATTTTAAATACTTTTTGATATTAATCTATTTATTAAAAATTTTAATCAAGACACGAGAGCACGTTATTACCTAATAAGTACTTATTTTGTTAAGAAAAGATTTAGCATCTGGGTTATTGGCTGACAATGTTTTAATTATACATTAAAATATTATTTTTATTATTTTTTTTTATGGATAATTTTAATACATTTATAATGTATTCTTAATACTACATACCAAATGGTAAATATACTTACTACATTTTATAGTTTTATAAAATTATCAATAAATATAGGTACACTTAGAAAATAATTATTAAATTAAGCCCAATAAACCTGATAATTTATTATTTTAAATTCAGATATCTGTAGACTGTATTAAATAAGATTAAAAGAGAGTAAGGTTTATATTTTTTTCAAGGAAGGTGAAACAACTCAATTTAGTGGATAAATAAAACGGAAATGTTTGCATCTATGTAGAATTCTGCATGCAGAGTAGGGCATAATTGATTAATTTTAATTTAAAAATCAACCAAGTACAATTTTATTTGAAAATTTTTTTTATAGTTATTTGAATTAATTTTTAAAATAATTATTCAAATATTTTTTAAATAAAATTAATCGAATAAAAACAATGGTTTTTTTTTTATTCAAACACGTGTTTATTAAAAAAATTATTTAGAAAAAATATTGGGCAACTCTGTATGAAAGGTTGGTTATAGGAAAAATATATTTGAATCAAAGTAAAAGCTTATAATAGCTATAAGCTTAAGTTTTGAACTAAATGGTATTATTAAATTTTGTACGAATGTATATACGTACTTGACAGTTATTTTTTAAATGCTCGTTATCGTCAAACGCGGTGAAAAAAACTCATTATATATAAATTTACTTATATTTTTTCACTGTTATGCATTAACAGTATAGTTATAGGTACCTATAGTTAATAACCATCATTGTCTGATGTTTGCTGATTCACAGTCTGAGAATTTGTATAATGTCTTACTTATTCAATCGAATTGCTACAGCTTTTTTATACCAATTAACATTTATAACTTCCTCAAATTAGTTTATTTTTATCCAACCTACACTTCATAGAAAATTATTTTATATACTCTGATAAGAATTCGTATTTTAGTATCTATACATAATACGTGCGTACATCGTAAACGTTTTGTTATTAAATACAAAATATATCTGATGTTCAAGAGTTAAGATTAATAGATCTTTAGTTAAGAATATAATAACGATAACAGTTCAAAAATCATACACAAATACAAACTGATATAAATTCATGATAAAATAAAAATTAATTAATGGTTCATAATGTTTTACTTAAGTTATAAACTCATAAAGTCATAACATTCTAATACATTATCAAGTATTGGCCATATAAATACTTAATACATGTATATTTATCATTTAATCCTTTACTAATGGAATGTTGAAGAAAAATATAAACTAGATATCATATAGCTCATAATAGTTCTCATTTTTTTTACTCTATATTAAAAATGTAAGTTTTTGGAATATTAAAATGGACCTTTTTTCTGTACATTGATCCACCTTAATAAGAGTTATATTAATATTTAAAAGTTAAAACATAGATAAGAACGCTCTTTAGTTATAATTAAGCACACCGTATTATTTTCATTTATTTGGGACAGCATTTCTTTAAAAACTTTTGAGTGTTTGAGTATATAGTTGCAATATGCTTTTACGAATTTTATACTATTAATAATAATAATGTATTTACAAAATCTACGTTATCATTAACGATACTGCGATTTGTACGTTCTGTCGACCAAGTTTAAATTTATTACAATTTTGAACAATAGTCACGACTACAATATTTATATATTTTGGTTAAGACCTATACAAATTGTTAGTTTACAAGTTAGACTGTTAATAATTCAAATTGAACTTATCAACAAAACGAATAGACAACAGTACCTAGTATCGCGGTATCATAATATATGTTTTATAGTTCACTGCAGGTTATGAAAAAATGATTTCTAAATTTGATTTAGTTATATTCCAACTGTGCGTGAATCATTCGGGGAACCTTAAAATATATTTCTAAAAAATTCAAAAATCTAATACAACGAGTTGCGAAACGATGATCGGTATTTAAATTTTTTTCACTGTAAAATGTTTATAATATTACCTATATGAAATTAATGCGAAATAAGAAAACGGATCACTTAATTATATATACCCTATGGCCTATACTTAAATATTGTATTGTTATGTAGACGTTTAAAAACGCAATGGTACTCCATAGTAAACATGCATATTGGAAATATTTAATAATTTTACCTTAACTCGCTTATCTACAATAATTGATTACGATGCATAGAAGATTGATTTAGATTACAATAAAATGCGATTTATTTTCCAGCATTAATGTCGGTTCTTATAGCGTTAACGACTAGACAAAATTCGGGGCGTCCGATCGTTTCATATTACTATAAACATATTATTAGATCAATAAATAGTAATCATTATGAAATTGATTTTTCTAATAACACCGGTACAATTTTTCAGACATGAACTGCAACTTGCGGTCATCCAAGTATATTACCGACGGACAATGCGTATCCACCAAACCCGTGGTAGAAGCTGTGTGTGCCCATCGCTGTCTTGTTTCAGCCAGCTCACTGAGTCAGAGACATCGATCTTCTATACATGACAACCAACAGGTAAACATTGGCGTAAGCAATAGACGCAGATATTTTATACGTATAAATGTGTTATCGTCAAAGGAATTTTTATGTCAATGCCAATAACTAAATTTCCGATTAAATTAGACTGTATATACAATATTACATTGTTAAAAAATGATGTTAATGCCTATTATTTTAGGTAAATGATACATTTGGTAATGTTTCTTAGGTAATTAGTAGCGACGATAATTTCAGCCTTCTTTAACCATGATTGATAAAAATGTTCTTTAGATTTGCTTATTGAATTAGAATCGACCAATAAGCCTGCGCAGTGCGTTGTAAAATCGATTTATCTAAATATTTAATCTGTACCTATCTATATTAATATAATAACATTAATAACATTTTCGGGCTCTGTGATATGTCGTTTATCGGATACATTAGCTATTTGACAGGAATACAGTATAAATCACGATAACGGAAATTTATTTGTTATAATATGTTTAGTACTATAGTGTATACGTATGTTACGGACAAAGTAGATTAATGTTTTACATTGCCCGGTCAACGTATACTTTGCGTCTTTGCCCAGTGTTTGTAGGCAATTTATTAAAAATACTATTTTTGCCATGCAGGGTTGTACTTTGACCGTACTAAATTGAGCATTGTTAACTTGAGCTAAAAACAAAACTTTCCATTTGAATACAATTTTTTTTTAATGTGTTAAACAGTTAAGAAAGAGTAGATATAGTAAGGAGGATAGATACTGTGTTACAGTCAATTTAGTATGTATTATATTTTTGGAGTTAAACATGCTTTTCGTTTGGTGGTGATAATAGACGTAAAAAGAATATGTCTAGATTTTTATTTTTTGACGTAAAATATTAGTGACGATATCGGCTAGACATTTTTACGTTATTACCTAAATTATATCATTGACGATAATACATAAATATATATATACTTTCGTAGGTAAATAATTATTTTTCAAAACGTGGAAAAAAGGAAACACGTAATTATGTTTATTACAATTTTTATTAGGAATCTGCTTGCTGCGACTACGACTACTGTAACTATGTGTGGAACAGTAAAAACACTACAATCTTCATTTTTGAATTGGTTTTTATTTCCTAGTGATAAATTTGATTTTATTAGTACTTTGGGGGGGGGGGGGGGGGGGCTTGAAATTTTCGAATCATTTTTCTGAAATATTGATTAAAATTTTTATGTTTGGTCAAAACCTTATAAAATGTAACGCAATACAATATTCCCATAAGCTATTCTTTCATTAATTTAAAAATGACCAAAATTCTGATGTAACTTATTCCCATAAGCGTTTGATGTACAAATGTTAAAGAGAATTATCCGAAATTGAAAAATTCATGAAATGTTTTTAACATAAATTGCTAAAGCTTGAAAATGTAGCGTAATGTTCTAATTTATTATTTAATATGTTCACAATTTTTTTTGTTACAAAATAGGTGGAAGCTTTGCAGTGCACCGACGGTGACGTGAAAATGATTCGGGTCCAGCTTAAGTGCCGGAACGGTAACATGTTCAACCATATCATTAAGGTGGTGGCCAACTGCAGTTGCAAATTGCACCCGAAACAACCGTTGACAATGAGCAATTCATTGAGTAGTCAGCGTGCCATCAATCCGGAAATCATGGCTATCGCCGCCGGACAATTCCGATAATCGACCGCTCAAATATTATTATTTATTATTTATTATTTATTTATTATTTGTTATTATTATATACTACCTAACAAGTTGTCACACTAGTCTACTTCTGTACACTTTGTATAAACTGTTTTCGGATCACGCGTTTGGCCACGTATAGTCAGCAGTCTCAACGAAGAATTTATTTATCTATTTCTAGTCTTAACTCTAAAGATAAATGTATATTCACTGTCACATTATTTTTGTATTATTTATTTTTTTATTCAATAAAATACTTTTCGTACGTAATAATATATACATGTATGGATTAAATATATATCGAACATAATAATATGCATCATAGAACTATACCTAAATTTAATAATAAAATAGAAAAATAAGACACAAGTAGAACAATTAGCAATTTCAAAACGAAAACATTTCACGTTTTTCACCGGTAGTGCGCCGCGGTAATCTTGAGTCCCGTGGACTCTCGGCCGATGGACGATATCTGACATATGTTGCACACCTTTCCCCTGTGCACAGGTTGGTACGACGCCGAACAGAACGGACATTTCACCTCCTCCTTGCCCTTATAGATGGGTACGAAAGAGTAAGCGCATATCGAGAACGGGTTGTGCTGGTCGTAGGCCACCTGCAACTTGTTGACTGGGTTCAGGTCGCAGGCCTGCAGCATTTTGCGCGCCTGCTGCGCCACGTCGGCGCGCGGACCCAGCTCCAACAGCCGTTTGGCGAACGACGCGGCTGTGTTGAGGTTGCCGATCTTGTAGAACACGTTGATTGCCGTGCGGAGTGTGAGGATTTTATGCGACATTTGCAGGTCGCAGTGCGTGAAGTACGCGACCATCTCGGCGACGCGCTTCTGATCGTCTGCCGTGGTCTTCGGATGCTCCTTGCGAGCCGTCTCCATCACCAGTCCGACCAGGTACTCCTTGCATATGTGGACCAGCTGCGTGACCTCGTTCACCTCCTGCTTGGTGTCCACGCACAGCAGCGGCACGGCCATCAGTATCGACCGGAACTTGGCTACCGTTTCCGGGAACTTGCCGGCCGTCGTTAGCTGATAACACGCCTGCAGTTCGCCGAGCAGCTGTTCTAGTTTCACGTCTAACACAGGCTTGTTGTTTTGACTTTTTCCGTCGCCGTCTTTCCAGTTGCGGTTGGGATACACGAACAGCGACGGGTGTGTGGGCAGCGGCGTGTACGACGTGTAAGACTTGAGATACGAATCCATGAATAAGTTTTTGAGGGGCTCGAAGTTGGTGACGCCGATCTGTTCGTTGAGTAGCCTGAATGCATTCTCGAAATCGCCCGACTTGATGTGGTCGATGACCAGCTGGCTGTTGGCCGACCACGCGAGCGACGGGCAAGCAGCCGGCTGTGGCGCTACAAAATAGTCGGAGTCTTGTTGTCGAGACACCAGCACTTCCGGAGGAAGTTCCACTTCTTCGTCGCCCACGTCCCAGCCGTCCTCGCCACCACCGTCCGCTGCGGCCGCCGACGCCGCTTCTTCTTCGGCTTCAGAGTGCGTAGGGGATATGCGTCCTTCCAATCCTAGGTCTGCTTCGGCTCCCCAACCTTCTTCCTCAACACCCACGTCCTCACCGATCGCAGTGTCGATTAGCCCTGACGCCTTGCCCGCCGACAGTATGGCGCCCTCAAAGAAACCTTTGGACACGGTCAACAGCGGCCAGTTTGACTCGGCCTGACTAACTGGGGCGGGAGGTCTGAGCAGCTTGGCGCCGGCAGTCACCGTCGGTAGGTTACCCTCGTAGCCTTCTTTGATGGTCTCGGCTTCGGCGTCCAAACCGTGAGTGGCGGCCGTCAGATAGGCGAGCGACTTGTGACCCAGTTCGTTCAGTATCTTGATCCTTTCGTGACAATCGCCCAGCAATAGTGCGCCCTGGTAGTGACCAGACACATCCTTGCGTATTTCTGCGATTTTCATCATTTTCCTCAGTTTGTCTAGATTACCGGTGATCAAATACAAAAATGACAGCTTGTCAAAGTTCTTTGTCCTCTGGTAGCACATCTCCACTACCTGATGGTTGCCCTGCAACAACGCGGACTGGCCCAATTGTTCCCAACACACCTTGTCGTCCAAAGTCCTAGCCGCCTCCAAAGCAATGTCTATATTACCACATTCTAGTGCTAATGAAAACCGTGTCTTGTTGTCTTTGACAAAATGTAATGCCACTTCTGGATACCCTTTCTGCTGCAAGTACGCTATTATAGATTGTCCAATTAACCGATCATTTCTAACTATATGCAACACTTCCTCATACTTGCGTTTGATGAGTGCTAATTTAAATTTGTATTCTGTTGTATCAATATTTAAAACTCTTGGCCGACATTCCCTGTCCAAACAAAACACTTGATTGCCACTGACTTTTGTAATGTAAATAGGTAAATCTAATGTACGTATAATTCCATAGTCACCACCATCTGGCAAAGCATATTTAATATGATTACTAGTAGTATATATAAATGCACCACAATCGTCCCATGCACCTGATTTTATTCTGGAATTTTCATGTATTGTACACAAAATTTCCAATTTCCTATTACAAATATAAATATTATGTTTACACAAAACGGCCAGTAATGACCCATCATTTGCCCATATCACATATCGACATTTGGCTATCTTAGCTTGAGCCAATACTCTCTTTTGTGTAACGTCAAATAAAGTTAAATTTTCAGGATCGCGTAGTAATAATAAACCAGTACCAGCATAAAAAATCTCATCTATATTATTGGGTCCTATGTTTTTTTTTGTTAATTCATTTTTTAAATTTTTTACAGCCAACATGTGTGTTTTATCTAGGACAGCAAACCGATTTCTGGCTATCCACACAGCCATTAGACCACTAGACCTCTTACTATCAGGTACTTCTGAAACACTATTGTCTGCTGATTCCTTAGGCATTTGATATAAATCATAAGTGCTATTTTCAAGATTAGATGAATTTCTTGTACATACAAGCATTGCATTTATAGCTGGATTGTAACTAATACTGTAAATAGGTGTACGTCCGCCACCTCTTAATTGCATGACAGTGGTCACTTTGTGAGTGGTAAAATCAAGACGATGTAAGAATCTCTCTTTTACGTAGAATAAGAAATTACCGAATTGTGTAAATGCAGGTCTTTCACGTTCCAATTTGAATATTATCATACCTGAATCATGTCCTGCAGCAAATAGATTGGAAGTCGGATGTGCAGCAAGTACCCAAAATCGTTCATGTTCTCGCCTAAATGTATTAAGACATGTTCTTTTTGTCATATCCCAAACACGAATACTTTTATCCTCGGAATTTGACAAAATAAGCTCTTGTTTTGGATGGAAAACAACACAAGAAACATTGTTATAATGTCCACGACAGGTATCTACTTCCCATGCTTTAGAATCATTCATTCTCCATAATTTAATTTGACGGTCATCAGCACCAGACACAATAAGTGGCAAAGTTGGATGGAATGAACACCAATTAACACCACGGTCATGACCTTCAAGTACATGTTTAACCACAGCATCAGCTTGACCAAATAGATCTGTAGCATTTGGATTCTTTAAATGATCATCCAGTCCCCCAGGGCCAGGAGCTACATTTTTCTTGCGTAGTCCAGAAATATCCCAAACACGAACCGTCTGATCTAAAGACGCAGAGACCACTAAATCTTCAGATGGATGGAACTGAGCACACATAACATAATGGTTATGACCTAAAAAAATATTAATATAATAAAATACAATGTATAATGCGTATAATACATACATAGCATTTTATGTATATATATATATTTAGTAAGGTATGTCAGACTATAATATTAAGTATAAAATAATATTTTTTTTTTTTTTGGTTCATATGTAAAATAGACAAAACACATTAGGTTAGGTTTTTTTTATGGTTTTAAATAGTTTTAGATTTAAATCATCAATTACTAAAATAATTTTAAGGGTTTAATATAATATTATATTGATTTTATATTTTAATATTTTATTAGTAATTTAAATTAAAAAGTATTAATACATTTGTTGAGTCAATATTTAGATAAAATAATATGATAAATTGATAACCATATAAATATTATACTCAATAAATTTTAGGGATTTTGGTCTAAAATTATTTTATGAATGTATTTTTTTTTATAATGTGTGTGGATTTGAGAGAAAAAAAATAATGCACAGAGTCCTGACATCTTCCTAGATATAAATGAATACTACTTAGTACTTTTCATTATAAATCAATATTTAACATATCTATGTAGTTTTAAAAAATATACTTTTTAATAACATAGTAGTTTAATAAGTATAATAACAAGATTATAAGAATCAATGAAAATAAATTGATTATTCATTGTACTAACCTGTTAAAACACAAATACAAGCACGACTTTGCCAGTTCCAAATTCTTATAGTCTGATCATCAGATGCACTTAATATCCAAGGGTACTCATGATGGAACATTGTAGAACGAATATAATCCAAGTGACCAAGTAATGTAAATATGCATCGTCGCTGTGTATAATTCCACACTTTGATTTTATAGTCATCACCACCAGATACAAATATAGGTTGCTGGCTGTGAAAACTTATACCACGTACAGGTCCATCATGTTCATCAAATTTGTCCAATAAGGTACACATACGGTAGTCCCATAATTGGATTACCCCTGTATGAAGACTAGCCAATATCCATGGCCGTTTTGAATGAAATGTAAGACCTTTTATACGGGCCGATTTGGTTTCAAATTTTGTTAACATAATTAGAATTCACCTGTAATTTAAAAGAACAATACACTTTTAAGTTTTGAAACAATGGTCAAACAATACTACCATTAGTATTCATTGATTTTAATGATATAGATGTTATTAAGACATTTAATTTAGCTTAAAATGTATAAATAAGGTATTATTAGAAATCTGGTAATTAGATATTAGACATAAAGTATTTTTAAATATTTTATTCACACAAAAATTGAATGAAAAGAATTTTATAAAATATTAACATGGTATATGTAATATTAATTTAATGCACTAACTCAATTGTTTTATAATATTGTATCCAATTTTAAAGCAAATAATGTCAATATAGAAAACAACTGATAACATAAATACTTATGGCAAATTTCAAATTTATAGAGTACCAATATATTTAATTATAATTAAATATAGATATATCAATAATATTATAATTGATTCAAATGGCTAAATTATTATTTTCAATTTACAGCAATAAACTATATGATCATAACATGTTATTTAATTATTTACAAATCGCTGAATGAGGTTTGGACAATAATTTTAACACAGAGTATTTTGTATAACTATTGAGTTCCACAAAGATACATTTACATCAGGTCATATTGAAAATTACACACTTAATAAAGTTTTTTCTAATGTATTTATTTTAGAGTATTTTATAATTGAAGTCTAATCATTTAAAAGTTGTCATCATTAACATTTTATGATACAAAGCACACACCCATAAGTTAATAGGGTTAATATTATAGAGAAAACAGCATAAGAACAATAACATTAAATCACCAAAACATTTTTAAATACATATTTTGTTTTAATAATTATGATGTGAAATGAACTTACTTTTTAATACCTTAATTTTGTACGAAATAGATCACCATAATTTAAAATACTTCGAATTTACTGAAAGTTAGTAGTTACAAACAGTGAAATTTTTGTCATCGTCAATACTCAATTCGTTCAACTTGTTTACGTGTATGTTGCTGATAGCCCGGCCCGGTGTACCAACCGCCATCACGGTAAAATATATGATAACGTTTTTGCAATGCCACAGAATAGATTAAAAGATTGTAGCAATTCAAAATAATAAAATACAAATTATTAATTAAAAAAAAATATTAATATTTAACAAAAGAAGCAGTGGTTACACTGTTTCGTTTTGAACCTTGTATCATAATAATTATCATATTAATTTATTTTAATAATATAATATTTAAAGCTGGATTCATAGCAATAATAGCTACATTGTGACAATTTATGTATTAGTGAAATTAGTGTATAATAAATAAAGTGTAAATTTAATAATTTTTAAGTATTGTATAATATATATTAATAAATATTAAAATTATTTAAAAAAAATTAAAAATAAGAATTTAGGTTATTATTTGATATGCTATAATTTTTTTTTTTTATTGGCCTTAAAAATGTATTTCCAACTCCATCGAAATAACAATGATCGCTTTTAATATACATATTTTTTTTTTAGAAATTAAATTTATAATTAATTTATGTAATAACTATCAGAATGTACCGCTATCCGATTGGTTGTTTCTAATTTGTGTTACTTTTTGAATTAAACCACATTTTTTAACTTCAAAAACTATCACCAATAACGAACGTACTCAATATTGTATTTTACCCTTAAGAACAAAATTAATTTGGTCTTTTATTATCAATTGGTACAAAACCATATGGTTCACATTTTCCTGCTGTCTTAATATATGGTAAAAACTATTCATAACATCTTTTCAAAGACTTAAATATTTATGTAAACAAAGTAACAAAAAAAAAGGATTTATTTTATCAAAAATAGTTCCTTTGTCATCTTTTTAGAGATTAATCAATTTCGTTAAAGCAGTTTTAAATTATTTCATTATTTGCTATTTAATTCCTGTTATGAATAAGATATTAATTTTGTTTAGGTGATGCCATATTTTTCAACAATAATTTCCCAAAATTATGTAGTTACGGAATTTTATTTTTTGTAAGATGTATCATTATCCATATGTTTTTTTTTTTTTAACAGTAAACCAGTAAATTGAAGTTTACTGGTACCAGGAATGATGCATGACATTATAATATACCACGAATTAGTGATGGGCAACACCAACTAATGACTAACGACTTAGTCGGTAGTAAACAATAAGAAAATAAGTCGGTTATTAACACTGACTAATCACTACCGAATAAAACCAACTAACGAATAATAAAATAATAAACCAACTAATGGATCATTTTTCATTTTTCTAATGAATAAAATAAATAATCAATCATCTTATGAAAATAAACACTAGTTATTACCTACCAGGCTACCAAAATAAAATCCAGCTGAAATAACACATAAATAGAACGATGTTAGATTATCAGAGCCTATTAATATTTACCAAACTATTTATAGAAAATAATGAGTTAATTCCGTCCGTCTTTATTTTATTTGGTCATTTTTATTTATTTTGGTAATCAGTAATCACTAATCACTAATCGCTCAGTCAGTACTCACTACTCACTAGTTGACTAGTGTCACTAAAGTGACTAGTGAGTACTGAGTAGTGACTATTGACTACTCAGTATATCGTGGTCCGCAATATAATTTGTAACCAACTGTTAGTCGGTTTTTTGGAATAAAATAATATAACTATTAGTCGGTTATACAAATTATTCGGTAATGCCCATCACTAGTCATAAGTTGTTAGTCGTTTTTCGATAGTTAATAGTCATTATTCGTTTTTTGATAGTGTTAGTCATTAAGTGGTTTTTTGTTAGTTGGTCATGGTAAGTGTAACCAACTATTAGTCGGTTTTTTGAATATAACCATTATTCGGTTGTGCCCATCACTACCACGAATATCGCCAATTCTTTAATCAAGTTATAGTTAAATTAATTGTAATTAATATTAGTAGGCAGAATACACAATTCTTGTAGATGATATTTTGCAGTCCAGACACATAGATCTTTGATAGGTAGTAATGTAGTATACTATACGAGTTTCCAAGATTTTCAATTTTTCGAAGAAAAAATTAAAGTGTATTGATTTCATACTTAAATTAACGTATCGAACACCGACTATCATGTATTAATCCGGTAATCGGTACGTAACTATTTCATATCGAATTTTTCTCCTTGAAAATTTCGACACAAAATTGAAGAATTTAAAGATTTTAAATCCTGATCACGAAATACAGGATATAAATTTTATTATATTAATATATATTATGAATTCGTGTCCCGACGTGCCTTCGCTTTTGTGTTTAAATTTGAAAGTAGGATACGATTATCTTTTTTTTTTTATCGCCAAAGATGATAAGAATATTCCAAAGAGTATATACAGTTTTTGTTTATCTCGGGGTTTTTTTTTTTTTAGCGGTAGTGCGTTTGCCAGTCGCGGTGATTCGTAAACTTATTGCTTAAGTATTAAGTAGTAAGTTTCCATCAAATTTTCTTAAGTCTAAATTCTTAGCATTAATTATTTTGTATTATTGTTTATTATTATCCAAGAGTATGCTTAATTTTCATACGTTTTAAATAATTTTAAGTTATCCAAATTATGGCTTTTTCAAGTGATGAATTGAATTTCCTTGTTTATCGATACCTACAAGAATCTGGTAAGTGCAATAATCCTTAATTATTGTTTTTTTTGGTCTACATTTGAATTAAATTAATATTTCGATTAGGGTTTCAACATTCGGCATATACGTTTGGCATTGAATCACACATTTCTCAGTCCAATATCAATGGAGCTTTAGTTCCTCCAGCTGCTTTGATTAGTATCATTCAAAAGGGTTTGCATTATACCGAAGCTGAGATATGTGTTGGAGAAGACGGATCAGAACAGCGTCTGACAGAGAGTTTGTCTTTGATCGATGCAGTGATGCCAGAAATTGTAGCCAGTCGACAAAGCCAAAACCAACAAAAACAAAGTGTAGTCAAAAACGATTCACAAGAAACCAATGGTGAAGAAGGTATAGCAACAGTGACTCCATCTGTTACCAGCACCGAAACAATGGAACTAGATAGCAGTATTGAAATACCGGCTGAAAAATCAACTATACTCAAGGGTCATGAATCAGAAGTTTTTATTTGTGCATGGAATCCAACCACTGATTTGCTTGCTTCTGGGTAATTAAAACTCAAACATCTTTTATTACATTTTTAATTATCAATTTCAAATTGTTAGTTAAATAATAATATATTCAGTGGCATAACTTTGAAAAATCTAGGAGGGGGGAATAATTTATTTACCATGGTTAAAACTATGTATATTTGTATAGTTAGATTATCTGGGAGGAAATATCTCCTTACTATCCCCAGAATTATGCCACTGTTATTCATATATATTTTGTTCATTACATATTAAATATTAATAAATTCTAGTTTTCTTGCATTTTATATTTCTTTTTTTTAAAGAAAAAAACTTTTTTCATTTATAGATCTGGAGATAGTACAGCACGTATTTGGGATATGGCTGACAGTTCTGGTTCTCCTTCTCAACTTATATTGAGACACTGTATTCAAAAAGGAGGAACTGAAGTACCCAGTAATAAAGATGTTACTTCTCTTGATTGGAATGTGCGTAAATTATTTTCTATATATAAATTAAGTATTCTAATTTTTTACTAAGTTATTATTTATGTTTAGTGTGATGGAACATTATTAGCCACTGGTTCATATGATGGTTATGCTCGAATTTGGATGACAAATGGTAGAATATCAAGCACTCTTGGTCAACATAAGGGTCCAATATTTGCCTTAAAATGGAATAAAAGAGGAAATTATATACTCAGTGCTGGAGTTGATAAGGTAAACAATTTTATTTTTTTTCAATTCTACTTTTGATTTATAATTTTTTTTTTGTTTATATCAGACTACTATTATTTGGGATGCTGCTTCAGGCCAGTGTAACCAGCAATTTGCATTCCATACAGCACCAGCATTAGATGTAGATTGGCAATCAAACAGTAGTTTTGCATCATGTAGTACTGATCAATGTATACATGTTTGTCGTTTAGGCCTCGATCGACCAGTAAAATCATTCCAAGGACATACAGTAAGTGTTATTTGTTATTATATTTAATTTGCAGTTTTTAATCCGAGTATTTTTTTTTATCTATTGTATTAAAGTATTAAGGCATCATTATTTTATTTCCTTTAAACACAATTAATATTCTGTTAACTTATAATTGAAAAACATTTTAGAATGAAGTTAATGCTATTAAATGGGATCCTCAAGGAAATCTATTAGCCTCATGTTCGGATGACATGACTTTGAAAATATGGTCTATGAAACAAGATAATTGTGTGCATGATTTACAAGCACATAACAAAGAAATATACACAATCAAATGGAGTCCAACAGGTCCAGGAACAGCCAATCCAAACATGAATTTAATACTTGCTAGGTAAGTACAATAATGAATTGTTGTCATACCAAGTATGTTAATTAATATTTATTATAATACTTTAAATATTATCAGTGCATCATTTGATTCAACTGTACGTTTGTGGGATGTTGAGCGAGGTGCATGCATACATACTCTAACCAAACATACGGAACCTGTCTATAGTGTAGCCTTTTCACCTGATGGAAAGTTTTTGGCATCTGGCAGTTTTGACAAATGTGTTCACATATGGTCAACACAAGTAATTATTTATGCCTAAATATGAGAAATAATATAAAAATAGAATAAAATAATAACAGTTAATTTCATTTTATTCTTACTTAAAATAATAGTTCTGCTATTTTTATTTCAGAGTGGTCAATTAGTTCATAGTTATAAAGGAACAGGTGGTATATTTGAAGTTTGCTGGAATTCTAGGGGTGATAAAGTCGGAGCTAGTGCATCTGATGGAAGTGTGAGTTTATTATACACAATATTACTCACTTTTATAAACTTCAATAACATAAAAATACTGATTTAAATAATCCTTGTAAATAAAATGTTATAAACTAAAAAAATTAAACTTACAAGTGATTAGAAAGTATTTTTTTTTAAATTTAATTTAATTTTTGTTGCAGGTATTTGTATTGGATCTACGAAAACTCTAATTCTTTGAACATTATTTGTTTTTACTTGAGTTTTCCCTATTTTGGATACCGATTTCCAATTGTTTTTAAACAAGTAGATATTTTCACTACAGTTTTTATAACTATATAATTATGGTGTTGTATCAAAGAAAAAACATTTAAACTATTAATACACAGGTTGTATTAAAGTAAATAATATAAAACATATTATATGGTTGCATAATTGGTGAATATTACTTCACTTTTAACTATCAAATTTATGAATTTATATGACTTCAATTATTGTGAAACCAATTTTTACTGCCATTTTTTTTTTTTTCAAAAAATGAATGATTTATGTATAAATATTTATAATTTTTGTCAATAATAACTGATACTCATCAAGATGTACATAATTAAAACATAAATAACTTAAGTATGAAATAATAATAACCACATAAAAAAAAAAAATGTTGAAATGTGGAGTTGGGTTAGTACTTGTACACAGTATCAAATATACATAACGTTGTATACCTTAAAATAATTTTATATTTATTTTATCTATGATTAGGTATTATTTTATAATAGTAGTTAGAAAATTAAGCAAATATATTATTTTTTATGTTGTAAGATGTTATTATATTTTATGCCTAATTGCAACTCATATTATAAATATTTTGTTTATTAATTGCTTTCAGAAAACTTTATATGAAAATATTAAATTTTTTTTTCACTTTATTAATTGACATAAATTTAAATTTTAAAACTGTGTGTATATTATTATTATTGATATAATATTTAAAATTGGTTTTTATGGTATATTTTATTTTACATTTAAAAGTAATTCATAATTAAAATGTAATTGGATTCTTAAATCCATTATAAATTTGAAAACAATTTAAATCTAAAATTGTGACCATTACAATAAAAATCTATAAAATTATGATATTGAAATATTAAAATATTATTTGATTTTAAAATTGATAAATTGTAATGTTAACAATAAAATGTTGATTCCATATTTTATATAACCTGTTTAATAATTATTTAAGTGAACAAAAAGTTAGCATATTTATATATAAATTAGTTATTAATTTTATTATTATTAAATTTATTTAAGTTATAATTTAACATAATCTAATATATTTAAAATTATATATTATCATGAATTTCATTAAAATATTTGATATATATAATTTTTTATTTTGTTTAAATTAAACTTTATTATTTTTACTAAAATGAATACTGATTAATATGGCTAATTTTAAGATAATTTCATTAAACAATTATAAAAATAAAAATAATATAACTAATGGCTTCAATAATTTCAAATTTGTCACCAAAAAATGATGTTTTTTGTAGAACTTCTAATTAAAATATTTTATTTTTTTTGTTTCCTGCCTTAATTTTACAGAAAAATTTGGTGCAGTTATTGTTTTTATCAATTTTTAATAGTATTGTTAAGAACCTATTTGTTATTAGATTTAAATATTTTTATTCATATATATAAAATCATGACATTAATAACATAGTATAAACTTTTAAATTAACTTAGAAAATTTCATAGGGTTGTTAGATTTTAAAATTGCCAAATCAGACGTATTTAATAATCATTTTTTTTAAAAATATTTATTAGCCAACACAAATTTTTTTCATTAACTTAATGCTGTTTGTTATTAGTTATTACTAATATTAATACTTTTCATTTGAATGTATTTTTTTCAATAGTTATGTTATTCTTAAAATTTATTTTTGTAAACAAATTAAAACAAAAAAAATATAACTGTTCAATGTACTAGCACTTATGTACACTAGCAATCATGAATCAGGTATTGACAATTGACAATAATTGTAAATATATACCTAATTGTATAGAGACAGAAAGCAGATAAACTAGAAATCATGCCGATAAGATTTAGTTTAAATTAGCTAACATTTATAACAATAATTTTAGATAACATAATAACATAATCATATTATGACAGCGTATAATATTATTCTAGGTTTTTTTTATTAAATTAAAATATTAAAGATATTTTCTCTCAGCTTTTTATTAACCAGAACGAATGGCAAATGTAGTCAGTCATCATTATTTAAAGCAGGAAAAATGTTGTGATTTTCAACTTAGGTGGTTAATGGTAGTAAACGTAATCTAATTAGTAATTACTACTTAAGGGTCATAAAAAAAAAAAAAATAATTCCAGTGCTTTTTAAAATAACTATATAAAAGGGAATTTTTACATAATTTTAATTTTTGACAAAATCATTATTGTTTGTTATCATATTCTATGTTATAATTTAATAATGAATAACTTTAGAGAGTTGAATTTTTTTAAATTAATTTTAATAAAGTTATGAAAATAATGTAGAACATAATTCCATAAATATTTTTTTGTGAGTGTCTGAAGTTTAGATTTTGAATGAATTGAATATTCATGCATAAATCAATGATCTCTCATCAAACTATTTTAGTTTTTTTTATTGCAATTCAAAAAGTACCTTTTAATTTTAGAAATTTAAAACATTCTACTGTTAATCAAATTATTATGTTCTATGATTAATTTAATTCAAAATTCCATATAAGTTGTTCTTGTAGCTAAGAATAAATGTGACTATTTCTTTTTATAAGTCTTAATTTGTAATTATCTAAATAATTCAAAATTACAAACATTTTAAAATTACTTTGTAGTAAAAAATGTTCAATTTTTATAGAAGGGCCCCCCTTAAATGTATTATTTTTTACTAAAACTTTAAAATTGATATAATATATAGGTAAGTAAACACAATTTGCTTATTGACATTTGAAAATGAAATTAGAAATTTAAATGAAGAAAATAACAAAGCTATTTTGCTGTTAGTATTCAATGTTAAGATATAAATCCATCATAATATATTAAAAATAAATTTCCACATTCATTATAATAATAACAGATAGTATTATCCTGTTTTTATAAGTCAATAAAATTGTTTACCTTTAAATATCTAATAATAAATCTTATATGTATATAGCTGATTTTATTACTATACTGCGGTTTAGGTTCAGTGTAAATATTCATGCATAAATATTGGTGTCTGTAAATTTTGGTCCATTTAATTTTTATACATATGTAAATTGTGGTTCAAGCAATATTTGAGTAAGCGTTACTACTTACTATATAGATTATACTTGAGTAGTATTGTAGCAACAAAAAGAACAATCCATGCACAATTTACACATTTTTAAATTTATCATATTTCTTCATTATTTAAATTGTCAACATAATTATTATCATCAGTAGGATTCTCAAAATATGATGTGTATACTCTCTAAAAAAACTGAAAATACTTTGTTTATAATTTACTTAAAAATATTCAAAATTATGTAAAAATGCAAATTGTTACTATTTATTTTTACATTATTTATTAAATATCTAATTATACTCAAGCGAGGTATAAACTTTTGTAATAGAACTATTATACTATAGTAATATAATATATAAACAATATTACTAAAGTATTTATTATATCAAAACATAAAAAATAATAATATTCCTTTATAAGTCAGTGAAATAAAATTTTATATTATATACTATATAATTTTTTACCGAATCTAATACAAACATTTGTCTACATTTTTCAACGCTAGCTAATCATCCAAATTTTCATTAACAGTTTTTATCCTTTAGTATTGAACAGTGATCAGTATTAAAAATTACAGCTTTAAGCCAAGTAAGAAACCTAGTAACAACTGGTTCGGGTGGTAAAGGAACACCCAAAAGTTCTTCTCTATAAAAGTATTATCATGGTGTTTTTTTATTAGAATGGTACAAAAAAAATTATTGTAATTATCCATTTTCTGTAAATGACCCAAACAATTATATTCAGGTACTTTTTTTATTGAAGTTATAAGAAATAGCATTTTTCTCTTAAAATGAACCAAATATTCCAAAAATATGCTAAATATTCTATAACCATAAAAAAAAAACTTTTTTCTGTGAACTCGATGTTCAATGAATCGTCCACAACTTTTACTCTCGTAAGACTGCATAGTGCATATACACAGTGACAATATGTAAAAACATATAAATTCGGAACCTAAAGTCATCAGTATTTAAAAGTATGTCTTTATTAATTATATACTCTTCACTCTTCAGGTAAAGACTTTCATAAATATTTCCAATTTTCTGAAAATTTAAAAGTACATTTCCAAAATTTTCTATGTAATTTTACTTACATATTTAATATCTAATAGTGGTTAATTGTTAAGGTTTTCTAGCATAACTAAAAAAAAATTGATTCCCTTTAATTTTTATATTTACCATCATGATTGAAAAATAGAAATACATGGGGTTTAAATAAAAAAATATGCAATTTCATGATATCTTATGAAATCATATTTATAGGTACTTACCCGTGTTACAATAATTGATGTAAAGTATTGATTAATCTTTTTATAGCTATTACTTGACTTCTTTAATAGTTTCCTTTGTCTCTCCTTTATTCTTTATTTTTAACAGCCAGTACTCGATAGACAGGTACGTTAAAAATCACCAAAATATTATACAAAACAGTCAACAATAAAAATTTCACAAATTATCAAATTATTATACGTATATAATACTTTATATATACCTACAATATTAATAAAAATAAAATGTAAAATGTAAAACTTGAAGACTAATCATAGTTATAATTTTTAACCGTACATTTAATATTAATCGTTTGGTAATAAATAAATGTTATAATTGACATGTAATAACTTACAAATACCTAATAAAAGTTGTTTCTTGATGTTGATTATAGATGTTGGTGGAGTGGTGAACTATCAGCCGATTCGAAACCTAAAATCTATTTTTAAACAACAAATGTAAACAATTTTTCACACTTGCGTGTCATGATATGAAAAAACCAAAACAAAATATTTATAATTTATTAAACTCATTGTATTATAGCTTATAATTTATAAACATTAAATACAAAAGAATAGCTAATTAGTTTTGAGCAGCGGTCTCTCGGACAGTTCTCGGTATCTCGCCAATTCAGTCGGCCCCTGAATTAAAGGCAAGTTTTATTGAAAACTGAGTTACCTACTTAAAAAAAAAGTTAAAGGCATACAAAATTAATAATTGTTATAAATGTATAAAACTTGTATTTTTATAGTTTGATATATTTAAATTTTTTATAGTCTATGGACGTGACAAATATATTAGTTGTAAAATAGATTGAAGAAGGTAAGTTATGTTTGAACAATCAATTTTTAGGAAATAAAAATTGTGTATAACAGGATGTCAGGATAATATTATTTTATCTCTATTATTTAGCTCTCTATCTATATCTATTAGATAAATTAACGGTTAAGTTTTAAATTTTAATTTGTGATACAAATTTTCATTTTTAATAACATAAAAATGAATATTTTCAAAACGAATTATTTTAAATAAACAAGTTTAACATTTTCCACCATTAACCAAATTTTTTTTACGTATGCCTTGAGAGAATATCGCGCGTACCTCTTAGAGTATGCGTACCCTAGGTTGAGAACCGCTGTTCTAGATAAAGTGTTCAAATATGAAAGAAATGGTTAAGTTTAGTTTTTGTTTCATCCTGGTAATAAAATCCATGTTTAAAAAGTTAGTACATTAAAAACACAATATGGTTTTAAATTTTAAGTTCAATGAAATCACACAACGAAAAAGTTTTATAAATAGTAATTTTTCTGTTTTCATTCCAATAACGGCAATAAAATTCCAATAGTTCCGAAGACCGAAATAGATATAATTGTGTAATAAAATATTATGCGTTTTTAAACAATTTTAAATATTTGTGTGAGTAAAAAAATTATTGAAGAGGTCTGGGGGGGGGGGGGGGCTATATCCTTAGGGCTTAGGCTCTCCTGGATTCATCATTGAGTGGACATCTATGTAATATATTGTTTTTTATTAATATTGATTAATCTATTTTTCTACCATGCGTTCGCGCTATGAACTTGAATAGTTATGTACTATCTATGTAATTAACTTATCTAACAGAGTTTAGACTACGAAGGTCAATCAATGTATTAATGAATGAATTAATTATTATGTTATAACATTTAAATAGGTAGGCGTAGTAAAGTCTATACAGTTGAATGTTCTGTTCTCAAAAACGTTTTATCTTTATATTAAACCACTACAAAACCTCACTTATTGTGATTATAATTTATAGCCACTACATTTTGTTTATAGGTACCTGCTTACCAGTATTTAATATATGCTGTTCATTCCAACATTTTGAACTACGATATAAGTTGCGATATTTAGTGAAACTTATAATAGTACACAAGTTTTACTATGAAGGGAAATTTCAAGTATGTGTGCCGTTATTTTTCCAGAAGTTCAATAGACATTACACCCGAAGTTAAAAATGCTCTGAATAACCGAAAACCAATAATTGCACTAGAATCAGCTCTTATTACACACGGATTACCGTATCCAAAAAATGTAGAGACTGCTTTGGAAATGGAACATATTATCAAATCACATGTAATTATAAATTTATAACTGAACATAATATTATGAGTATATATTTTTACATATATATGGTTTATTGTTTATTTCATAATTTATATTTTCTCTGCTAAGAATATAGTTCCAGCTACAATTGGTGTGGTTAATGGCAGAGTAAAGGCCGGTATGTGTCCAGAACAGATTGATGTTCTTGGCATGCCAGCTGAAAGAAAAACGGTCAAAGTTTCTCGAAGAGATTTTCCTTATGTGCTCAGTCAAGTAAATCTTAACATATCTTTCCTATTTATTAATACTTATGCTATTGAGTCTAATTATTGATTTTTAATGTTTTAACTATAACTATAGGGTTTAAATGGAGGTACGACAGTATCCGGTACTTTGGTTATTGCTAATGCTTTAGGCATAAAATTCTTTGTTACTGGTATGTACCTAATTTGTTTATTTAAAAATGATTAAATATGTGTGTAATAAATACATGTTACAAAAAATGTAGACATTTTTTTAAAGATTTATTATAATTAATAAATTAATTTTTATTATATTCAGGTGGAATTGGCGGAGTTCATATAGACGGTCAAAATTCCTTAGATATAAGTGCTGATTTGTTTGAGTTGTCTAGATGTGCAATAATGGTTGTATCTGCTGGTATTAAATCTATACTTGATATAGGAAGAACTTTAGAGTATCTAGTAAGTATTTATGAACTTTGTGTCATTTTGGTATAGTTATTACAAAAGTATATTTTAATAGTCAATTATTTAAATTAAAGGAAACTGTGGGTGTTTGTGTGGCTTCATATGATTCAAATGGGGAATTTCCTGCATTTTATACTAAATTAAGCGGATATCAGTCTGCATGTAATGTAACTTCGCCTTATGAAGCAGCTGGCCTACTAGAGCAATGTCAAAATACAGGATCTGGTGTTTTGTTAGCTGTTCCAATACTAGAAGAAAAAATAAAAAGTAACTATATCTTGCATTATATATATTTTTATATGTAAATAGGGTACAATAATATAGTCTAACTAACAAGTAATATGATTTGATTTTTCAAAGAAACAGAAATTGATCAAGCAATAGAAAATGCTCATAAGATGTGTGAAAAACAAGGAATAATGGGAAAAAATATTACTCCTTTTATTCTGAGTGAAGTTAGTCGACTGACAAAAGGACTTTCCATGGAGACTAGTAAAAATAAAAAATAAGCTATTTATTTTATTTATTCATAATTATGAATTGTTTGTTTTTTAGATATTTCTTTGTTGAAAAATAATTCTTTGATTGGAAGTAAAATTGTATTGGAGTATTATTCAAAATTGTTTTCTACCTCAAAATCAGTTTTTGAAGTAAAAAAGAATCTAAACAAATCTAAAAAATCTCCTGTACGTATATTAAGCTTTTAACTTTTAATTAATATTTTAAAACTATTTATCATTATTATTGTTTTGAGATCTAGGTAGTAATTGGTGGTAGTAATGTAGATTATGTTCTTCAAGTTGATGAAGATTTAAAGGTAAGTTAAAATTTATAAGTTATAAGTTATAATTGTATTAATTGGTAATTATAAGTATAAATACATATAATTAATTAAATTTAAAGCTTATTTAAAATAAATATTTGTAGCACTATTTAATATTTATTTTATTAACTACTATTTATGTATAAAAATAGCAATATGATAGGAGAATGAGGATAGGTATTTTAAATTATGATAAAAAACAATATTGATAAATCATTATTTTAATAATAATATTAATAATAATTATAATAGCTCTAGGAATGCTTAAAAAATAATAGTACAAAGTTTACAACATTTATTGTACAACAAACATTTTAATATTTTATTTTAATTAATAACAAAACATACCTAACCACGATTTGCTAGTACAGTCAAACTTTTGCATTCATTTTTCATGATTGTATTTAAGACAATTGGGAAGCGACAAGTCCGTGACACAAGAAAATAGGCTATACATTATATTAAAATTAACAGTATTATAAAATTTAGTTCCACTGGAAAACTAAAAATTTAAGATAAGAAGTATAACTATTTTATATTAAATTAGAAATAAGTAGGTTATAATGATCTTGTTTTAAATTTTCAACAATCAAATAGTTATAATAATAAGGAAATTAGGTTTAATATTTAAGTATTTATATAAATTTAACTGCAAAATAAATTTTTGAGTTCATTATGTACTCTTTACCATAAATAATGCTTTATAGTTCATTGACATTTAAAAGTAAGTACTTAATCATATTTTTGCTGGACATAAAATCATTTTTTTTTTTTTTTTTGACTGTAATTATTATTTTTAAAGTTGTTATTTAAACATTTTTGTATATATCCACTTTGAGCTACTCATATTAAACTTCTATTGAGATAATAGATGTTTCCTTATGTTCAGATTATCTAAGTAGATTTGTTAGATGACTGTATACCATAAGCATTTATGAATAAATTAATTGAAAATAAGACAAATATAATTTAATTTAATTTAAATATAAAGTAAATTTGTCACCAGAGGTGTGTAAAAACTATTAATATGGCTCAAATATGTTTACTGAGAGTTTATAATTATTTGTTATTTTATTAAATTTTTGTGTATAAATTCATATAGCCTATAGGTAATAACAATTATGTCGGATGTTTTCATTTTAAGAGGTAGGTACTAAAATATTAATACTATAATTATTTCTCTTTAGACACTTGAACAAATAGTTCAATCCCTATTGGTAATTTGTTTAGCTAAAAATATTTTTTTAAATTTCATCATATTATAAATTTTGAACTTAAAAAAAAAAAAAAAAATAATGAATGAAAAAAAAGATTACTTTAGGTTGCCAATAGATTAATAGATTACAGGAAAAATTGTTATTCATTATTTAATTACAATATTAAATAAAATATAGAAGTTTGGATCGTTCAATCTTTAGTGTAATAGTTTGAAATAACATGTATTACTATAATATTTATCCTTGTACAATTTATTTAAGGAGTACCAAATTATATTTTACATACAAAATTTGACATTTTTTTTAAAAATATTACAATAAATGTCACTATTACAAAAAGTTAAGGCAGAATGAAAAATAGAAAATTAATAATGCGATAGAATTTGAAGGAACAAAAATATTAAATTTGAATTAGGTATCTACAAAAAAAGATATTGAGGTAATGCAATTCCTTCGAACACAACCAATGGATTATTCATAAAATGATTTCAACATATCCACAAACATGTTTTTATAAGTTGAATTTTAATCATTATACATTTCTTTTATTAATTATTATTGTTATACTTAATCAATTTATTGACATGTAGCACCATGTATTCTACTCCAATCACATTTATGCCTAGCAGTTAATTAGTTAATCAATCATTTTGATTTTTCAAATTACTTGTTTGTTTACTTGCATAGTGACAAATTATAATTTTATTTTTTTAAACTAATTTTAGTTTTGATTTTGAAATCTATTTTTATAGTATTTTTTTTCTGAATGAATTATAATGTAGATATCACGTAAAAAATTTATCTTTCAATTTTAATAATGTTTTATTGTTTTATTTTTTGTTTAATAACTTTTATGCGGTTTTGGTGTCGCCAATAATGGAAATTTTTGGTTACTGTCAATCATTCGGAACCAAGCGGCCACGCATCTTCGTAGTCATATTTGATTCTTATGTCTGGTGGTTAGTAGTCGATTTACATCTTTTAACTCGTGAAGTTCGTAGTTACTCTTACTAGATGAGCCTGTCAATCGCTTGTCATCACACAATAATAACGCACTATGACTATTAGTGTCTGATTCATTGCCGTCCGTGTTCGAGGACTTTACCCTGAATGTCGCTTCTATCGAACGACCTTTTAGAAGTGGTTTCACTCCATCTAAACTTCCTTCTGAAATTAAAATTAAAATTTATAGTAGGTTATTTTGACTTATTAAATATTTTAATATAATTTTGGGTGGGCGCACTTAAAAATTAATATATAACAATTTTATTTATTAAGTTTTAAATGGTTTTGATTGACGTTATATTTATGAATTTATGATATTAAATAAGATAAATAAATATAAATAAGAAAAAGAACCAAAAATTTAAGTGCACTTTTAAAACGATGTATTATTATTTATTGTGTATGATGTAGGTACCTGATATTCTAGTTTAAGAATTATTTTTTATTATTGTAAAGTACACATAGATGTAAGGCTCTCAGAAATATTGTACTTACCTATCTGAGTGTCTTGTCTCATAGGAGATACACGTACTACGCTACCATTATGTTCGACTTTTTGTAACAACTTCCCTGTAGCTTGTTGGGGAATATTAACTAATTCTAGTCGAGCTGTATCTCCATGAAGTATTTTTATTTTTTGTATCATTTCTCGAATTTCATACCTGTGAAAGTAAATATTTAAACCATGAATTCAAATTAAATAAAAATGTTAACGATTTATTAGAAATTCATTTTTATATTTTTGAAATTCTCTAGAATCAATTATTGAATCTTTCTATCATAACAAGATGATATGAAAAGTTTAATATGTGTTTTTGACCGATTTATACGACTATTACATTCTATAATGTCATTTATAAAATGTTTAGGTTCTTTTGACTAATTAAATAATTAATAAGTCATTGCAAAAAAAAAAAAAAAAATTTAGAAATATTAAAATGTAGAAAAAACATCAAACAGTACATTTTTCATTTTTATAAGACTTCTTGACATTTATTAAGTCGTTTGTTCATATAAGTGTAATAGGTAAGACTGTTTATTTTATTGAATTTATTTCATATCTATTATATTTCAAAATCAATGGCAGGTAGCGATTGTATTGTTAGAAAACTCAACAGGTCAATATGCTCATTTAAATATAAAAGAAACAAATGCAACTTAGAAATCGAATAAGATGTTGTGTTTGTAGTAAAGTGTGATGAATAATGTGTACACTGCTTATTCATTCATATATATATATATATAATATATAAAAATACTGTCGATATTCATAAATATTGAGGATATCCTTGTTTAATTTTTAATGTTACCGGTGTAAAAGTGGTCTAGAGCCTTACGGAATAAATTACTAAAATACTCGCTTAGATTCAGTTTACCTTAGAATGCCTAGAAAACACAGTTTCAAAAATGATATGACACAGTAACCGAGGACGAACAAGACGTCGGCACTTCTACGTATCCATGCCATCAGCGCCCGTTCACATCCGGGATAATAGTGCCGGTACGAAGGGAGCCGACACTTGACAGGCATCTCTTGCATGTTGTCGTGCTCTTCTGCCTGGACCGTGGTCAATATAGTAGTAGTTGTGGTCTGTGGTTGCCAGTAATCCCTTCGGAATGCTGACGCCACTGCTTCTGGCTTATGGTAGCAGCAGCTATCCGGTAGGACTGTCGTGTAATCGACTAAGTGTTCAACTAGAAAGTTTTAAGATAAATATTGTATTTATATTCAATTATTTGTCAGAAAGTATTCATATTTTTCCGAATGATGCTATTTATTTATGATATATCTATTATATTCTTATTATTAATTTATACGGGTTGCATAAATTAATAATATATAATATACAGGATATTATAAAAACACCGTGGAATTTGGAATTGTCCTTTAAATAGGTCTAAAGTCTGCGACAAATGTACATTGTACATTATAAATTATAATATTTCCCCTGTCACCCTCATTAAATTAGAATGGACCAAAATCATGTGTATATTTCCAAAACTTTACTTAAACAGTAAATATATATTATGGAAAACGACAGGGATTAAACTATTGAAGTTGTTTCAATTCTCTATTTGCTTTTTGTTCGATATATTATTAATTTATCTATTTATTTTATCACAATTCGCTTTCAATAAAATTATGTACTTCAAATATTTGATTGTTGACAAAATCTAATAATAGCAATAAATAATTGTATTTTTTTTTCGAAGTATGTACAGTCTGTATATTGGTAATGCATTTTTATTATTAATAAGTTAAATTATACTTATCTTGCATTTGGATGTTTGTCACAAAATCTATATTTAGTGGAAAATATATAATAAATAGAATCGTGTAGATACTTTTTTTTACTTAAATTTTTTTTTTAACTTCAATTTCTTGGAAAAATTTATTTAAAAATAATTTTTAGATTATGTATTGTTTTTTGATATTAAAATTTAAAATACGCGTTTCCAAATTCCATAATTTTAAGCAGTACTACTATTACACAAGAAACAAGATTTAATCTTTTTAAATATTATGTATATAAATTAATTTTAATTCCATAATCTAGTTATTTTTAACTATAATTTGTAGCATATTTTACATTTTACCTATATTTACCTATAAGCTATTAGATTGAAAAATAAGTTTTAACTTATAAAAATTATTTTTTGTATGAAATGTTAAAAGTTTTTTGAAAAAGCATTTATTGTTTTGTTTTTAGATCGATTACAAAAAATAACTTCTCGTAGGTATCATTATTATCATAGTAATAGTAATAATAACGTAATTTTTTGTATTAAAATTATTTTGTTAAATTTAGATGCTATACTATATTGATTATTAAGTATTCAATTTTCTTATAATTTATGGTACCTACATTTAGCGTTAGTTTCAGTCATTTTTAGTTTTTTTTCTTTTTATATCTTACGTAATTTAATTTTTTTAGTAGTAAGAATTATAATGTTTATTCTAAATTTCTAATTTAATGAAAAAATCATAAGAAAATATATGGGTACCAAAAAAAAAAAAACATGATAGTAGTTTTCTATGAGTTCTTTTTATATCGATAATTAATATTTAATTTTTTCTACACTGAGGCGGGGTCTAATAGTGACATGTTAACGTTTTAATATTTGAAGTGAATTTATTTTATTAAAATCGTGTTTTAAACAAAACGCTAAGTAATTTTGATTATTGTTAAATTTAAATAAATTATAACAGTGTATTTTTTACGGAGATAGATGATAGTAGTTGCTTTGTTTCTGTTCCTAACTCTTTATGTGTATTTATTTAGAATTAAATACATGTAATATATTTTTGTTATAAGTTCAACCTACTTACTTAATTTTTTTTATTTTAATAATTTACTATTAATACTATTGTATATATTAGTTGAAACAAATTCGAGCTTTATATATAGTAATAATATTCGGTTTGATTAATGATATTCGTTTGGTCGCTTTTTCCAGATATTTTGTCATTTTTATTGAATTTTATAATGATTGTTGATTGATGAATTGAAACGATATCTAAAATTAAATTTTTTTACAAACTTTTTTTTATAGTTTATCCTTTATATTCTATGAATTATTTGCTTGTTTACTGTATTGGTTTAAAATTTAAATTTGTATCTGTTTTTCTGGCAAAAGCTTGAAGGTTTTGTCTTAAAATATTCATTCAGCCTTCTCTATATAGCCATAATTTATATTAAGTTTTCTTATTTTGATACAATTTAGAAAACAATAAATCTAGAAAAGTACTCGATTTTCAACAATTGTATATATTATATCGTAAATCTTAAATAAACGCCGATAAATGGTATAATTTTTACATACTTGGGATTTTAAGATTTGTAATATTATTTTAAATTTTAAATTTTTTATTATGACTGATGATTTAAGACAATATAATATATATACTTCTTTTTTCATTTTATGTTGTATTACTTTTTATTAAAAAATTTCAAAGAAAATTTGTTTTAATAATTGTTTAAATTTTGAATTACATATAATAAAATTTATTTATTTGCAACATTTTTAATAAAATATACGTGAGTAGAAATATCTAAAAAATGTATTTTATTTTATTTTTTACAAGCCAAGTATTATTATATACACACGAAGAATTTAACTATGATTAGAGCTATTGGTTGTACGAGTATATTGTACTTTCTTATCGCGGCTTTCCAAAAATTGTTTTTTAGGATCACAATTTGTACTCGTAGAGAATTTTCAGAATAATATGTTACTTTTTTTTCTAATTTTGAATATCTGCTTAAGGAGGAACCGCGCAACTATTATTTGTCCCGATATGCTAATATCTGGTGCTAGTTAAGTTATCATTTATTTGTTTTTATATAATATTATTTTCAACATGGACGTAGAATGTGTGTGGCAAGGGAAGGCCACATAATAGCCAAAATAATATAATGTTTCGACTTTCAGGTATACAATATAATATATTCTAAAAATGTGTCACAAAAAAAAAATGCTCTATAATTTTTATTTCCTTCTATCGCTTCTTTAATAAATACTAAATTTTGTTGGAAAACAATTTAAAATAATTTAAAAAATGTTCTATGTTTAATATTAATAAATAATATAGATATCTAATTAATCTAATTCATCCACAAAATGTTTGCAGTTTATTTAAATTATATAAACTAGTCATTTAGTGACATTTTTGACCAGCTTAATCTTTGTTTTAAGTGTCAAGTTTGATATAAATTGACTTCAGAAAGCTAAAAACATTTTTTGCTGATAAATAGTAAATTTACGTATGATAATATTCATATTTTATAAAGTTTTCATAAATTTTATCATATGCCTAATACCTAAATTAAAAAAAAAAAAACTTAAAACTATGGTATTAATTAATGAGGTTCTTAATTAGTGTTATTATTTTCAAAGAAAACATTGAATAAAAAGACATATTAGTTCATCAAACTAATTATTCTTTATATTATTATACATATAGGTACTAAAGTAATTTTTATCTAGGTATATGAATACATTTGTTATTAGTATTATATTACGTATGTTATAAGCACTCTACCACGATACACTTATGCTTTTCAAGTCTTATTTATGAAAAAGACAATTATTATGGAAAATGTACATTGAATACTATTATATTGTATTCTAAATAGTGGTTCAACGAGTATGACTTACAGGCGTTGAGAAAGTTCCAAGATATAGGTCTATTATATGGCTGTATGCAATAACTGCTGAATAATTAAGCCTGTATATTCCGGTAACCATTTATAACGCGAGAGACGTTGTAATTAATAACGTAGCTTAACTAGAATTTCTAACGAGGTTTAGAATCATAAATCTCTTACAGAATTTAGGTTTGTGAAAATGTGTCATACATTTTTTCATCATTTTGTTTTTACTATTTTTAAGGCAACAGAATTAATAACAATTTTATTATTTTGTATGCGCATGTATAGTTTATACATTACTATACAAGTAAAGAATATAATTGCTTATGTAAATTATTAAATTAATTTAGTTATAACTATGAAATGTAATATAGTGATATCAGATTTAAGGTTTCTAGAGATCGCAATTGTTGTACATTTTGTTATGTCAATTAATGGTAACGATTCACCGTTTAAAAAATTAATTCTATTTTCATAAAATTAATTATCATCAATCATTAGTTTTTAGTAATATTCATAAAAGTTAAATAGTATGCTTCGAGTAATAAATATAAAATATTCAAATGCTAACTTAATGTAATATAGAAAATTAATTTATCATAATAAAATGTTAATATCGAGTAAAGTAGAGTATCTATTAGTTGCTAGTAATGTATTTAAGATTAGACCTTAAGTATAAAAATGTGTATAATTTATCATAAATTATCATTTATCTATATCGATTTGTGAGTATTTCAGTGTGTTCCTTAAAAATAACTCAATTATATTTCTACTGGAATAGGAGCCGGTTGTGTGAATAGATAGCATGAGTATTGAGTATATGTAAACTGTTAGTGGCACATACCATTATACCACATGTATACACAATGGATCACGTTGAAAATGCGTTTGTCATCATGTAGTATATGTGTATTGTGTACTATTATATTAAAATTGTATTCGAAATTTTGGAGTCGAGAATATTTTATTTGGTGTAAATAATATATCGTCATAATAACTTATTTTCAAACGTCAAAAATAAGTATGCTTATACACACATCCCCTCTATATACGCATAATAATAAAAATAATAGTAATTTGTGAATTTGGTGTGACCCAGTGAGGCAAGTCCTTTAATGGTTGATGAGGGTGGACACGAACGAACGATGACGACATCGAGTTTTTTTTTGTCTATATTTATATATATATACATGCGATGCATATAGACATTTTGCGCCTCCCACAAAACAAAATTAAATCATGACATAAAAAAAGTTCAGTAACTTACAAAAAAAAATAAAAAAATATTAATTAACTGACTACCATTGAAAAAATCTACAGTATCGATCAAAAGTTGTTTAAAAAATATAAATAAATATATTGCGACCTTATGTGGATCCATATTGCGCGCAGAGCAAAATTTGAAAGAGGGTCCCATGTTGCCATTGGAGGACATTTTTCAAGGGTGGAAATTTTAATGGTCCTCGCATGTTAATATATATGTTTTTTAATTATTTCTAGTTAAAAAATATAATGAAACAACTAAAATGAATAGAAAATATTGAAACAATTTAAAACACTTTATTCTGTATCTACGAAATTAATATTTTTCGATGTACTACCTTTTTCTACTCAAAGTCACAAAATATTATTTACTATGTAACCGTGAAAATTGCAGTTGTGGTAATAAATTATAATTGTGTAATCTTGAAAAATTAAAAAAAAAAAAAAAAAAAATTTATAGTACGTGTATAAACTAAAACAAAATTGAAAATTTATTAGTGATAATTACAGATTATTAGGATCTATTCAGGTATTACTCCTTGGCGTTACTGTTTTTGTATTTCTTATAAACCCATAATAAAATAGAGTAAAACATGTTGTATAGTTTTAAAATAGTAGTACGTTATTATCCGAACTGAGAGGATGGAAATTAGCGAATGACTTATTTCTGAAGAGTTTTTTTTTTTGACATTAGAAAGTAATTTCCACTAGAAAATTAGAAGATCACCGGAACGCTATAAAAATCTTAGATTTCCACTCCAATCGTATTTAAGAAGTTTAAAAGAATTATCTGTTTTTGTTGGAATTTTTATTCGTGTTGCGCGTTGTACGTTAATTCTTGATTAGAACGTGAATGAATAAATGGTTACATAGCCACGCATAGGTACGTACATTGACAGTGTTGTAAGTTCGCGTTCACGTCAAGTGCTTACAAAACGAGTCAATTTTTTTCTTTTGAACTGGCGCAGGTGGGTCAGTCTCGTGCAACCGTATCGCCCCAAACGGGTACAAAAACCTCATTGAATATGGCACCGCGGATTTGAAGTTGCGTGCACGCACAGCTGCACGTGGCGGTCTTCCGCCACTTTAACACGTCCCGCTGCCGGACCCCGGACACCGTCGCAGTCGCTACGCACCCTCTCTAGCCCCCCCCCCCCCCCAGACAAAAAAAAAAATTTTACTCCCTTACACTCGCATTGCGCGACGACGATACCTGTACTGCACCCCGCTGCAGGTCGGGCAGGAGAAAACCGAAAAAGCGTAACACGGAACTCACCTCCCATATGCTCGGTGACGTTGGAAAAGTCCTGCGGCCTGTTGACGCCGCAACACTCGTGGTCGCGCTGCAGGTCGTCCCAGATGGCGGTGAACCGCCTGTCGGGCCCGTAGTCCGCGACCAACCGGTCCCGGAGCGCCGGTTTCAGCCGGGCCACCATCTTGTCGTAACCGTATACCCAGTAGACGCCCAGCACGGCGTCGCCGACCAGCAGGCCGAGCAGCAGCAGCCAGTAGACGTTGAGCAGCCGCTCGCTGAGCGACCGGGCGCCCAGGAAGCCGACGATCTGCAGCACGGTGCACTGGACGAAGAGCGCGGCGTACACGTACAGCAGGCTGGGATGGCACAGATCCAGGCCGGGCACCAGGTGCCGCCGTTGGTCGGCCACCACCAGCTGGTAGGCGATCACCACGAAGCACACGACGCACACCATGAGCACGGTGTTGCACGTGTATATCCAGATACGGTAGTAGCGCATTGCCCGGTGTGCCGGTGAATGAGATACCGTCATCCGAACGGTAAAGCACTCGAATACGTCAGCGGCCAATAAGTGGTGCTGGATCAGCATAACGGGCATCATGGGGGTAACTTCATCCGCTCCACGTCGAAATAACCGCCGCCGCCGCTGCAACCCACAAAACAATACGACACTGTCGTTATTCGGCACGCATGTGAAAATGTAACGTCTCGAGGTATGACGCGCGCTGGGTTTTTGGGAAGGGCGTGCTGCGGTCGGCGCTGGCTGGGTGGCTGACGGTGGGTAGTGGTGGTCGCGCGGGAAACCCGACTTGGTTGAGACGGGGAGGGACGCTACGCTGCGGGTCGGAGATAAGTCGGGCCGGGCGACAAAGTTGTAACCTAACCTTCGGCCACGATCGTGCGCTATCATTTACGAAACCTATTAACTGTGTGTCGGACTTACCAGCTATATCATTGTATTTAATAACAGACCGATTCGCTCGTTCGTATTAAAATTACCAGATTTAAATTGATTATTCAGATCGTTATACGCGTGTACGTCACGTCCCCCGGACGGCCTCATCTTAGCCACAAGCCTAGGGATTTTTGTATTTTCGTTTTCTCAGATTTACACGACTATTCAGTGCTATATACACGATAACTCGTCTCATTCGTCTGTTTACGTTGTATTGTATCGTATACATAGGCGCAACTAGACCAATACTTTTGAGGGTGCACAAATAGTGAAGAGCTCACAGAGCCGTGGGGGCAAAGCCCCCACACCCCCACATTATTACTCCCATTACCGTTCACATTACACAAATAAAAAAAGTAATAGCTATAATATAAATATAGTATAATATCATTATAATTGTTGTTCCACGAATTACGAATAACTTCGTTTACGAGACCGTATAAAAACGTTATAAGTCAAAACTTATTGTTTATTAGTACATTATAAAATAAGACTATATATAGTGTCGGTATAAAATATATATGTATACACTATACATTATGTATAGCAGGGAACATAATAGCAAATAGGAAACTATTTTTCTCAATAATATACATTATGATACCTACAATAATTTTTAGAAAATTCCAAACTTGGGGGTGCACAAGTCCCCTGTGCACCCCCCTAGTTGCGCCAATGATCGTATACCACGATGTAGAATATTCATATATCTGACTCATCAGCCGTCACACGGTCCGCTGAGCATATTTAATACTTCGCAACGACGTTGCAATACCTATTCACCGTTTAGTAGCATGAGTTTGAAAAGGCACAACCTGCCTCCGAAAACAAATTCCCGTCTGTCGTCTCGGCACTGTACAGCATTATACGTTAATGTTGATATTACGAAACTGGAGTTTTTCTGAACAAACCGAGCATTTTTTAAATTTAACGAACTCGAACTGAATCGAATATGCAGTTTTATATTTGAACAGAACTATTCATATTTCATATTGAACGTTGATGAACGCTTAAAAATCATCGAGTATTTTAGTAATATTTAGTTATCAATATAAAAAATAAATTAATTATAAATTTACACTATTAGTTGTTTAGGCATTTTATTTGGTTTGAATATTTGCACATACACCGCAACACATTGCTTTTTATTAATACATTGTATAGATAATAACAAATTTAATATAAAAATTGAAATACTTAATAGTAGAACAAAAAGAATTGTAATCAATTTGAAAACTGTATTTCATGTATAGAAATGTATTGTTAATATGAATATTTGGTAAAAATATCAAGTTTTTATAGTTGGATATTCATTTTTTAGTTGTGTACTAAAAAAAAATTATTTTGTCAAAAACTGGGTTTGCATAGATATTCCAGTTTTCTCCAATTTGTTTAATTGTTTTTCTCGATTATATTTAAAAGTATTATAAATTATTTATTGTTTATTCTCAAAATATCAACTACAGATTCTATTTGCTTCAAGTAACCATGTTCGAAATAGAAGTTCGAACATTTTTTCTATTATATAGTGATAAATAAAATTTACTTAACAAATTTTAATTTGATATCGCTCAAAAAATTTATCAAAAAAAAAAAAAAAAACGAAAATATAATATACTAGGTGACCTCCAAACAATATGTGATGTATTCATGTTTTTTTCGGTGCTTAGTTAGTTGCATGGGGATGATTTTTATCCAATTATTAATATTTTAAATTTAATATAACCATTCTTTATGGTAGATAGATTCTCTGAAATATCCTTAGTAGTAAATTATTATTTTGAGGATACTGCCACTGTCGTCAATTATTGGTAGTCCCTGTGTCGATTAGTAGTTTTTTGTCTTACACTGAAGATTCATTCACGAACTCTATAATGTATTAATTAGAAGTATGTTTCAATTATTGTAACTGTTTATGAGTGAATTTTTGGCTTGCATAAATATTTAAAATGAATAATTTTAATTGCTTACTAATTTTTTATTCGTAAACTTATAGAGCAAAATGAATTTTGAGATATTCTAAAATGAGAATTTTTTCGTATTTTATAGTGCTGATCATTTTCTTAATTGGTTACATAGGTTGATATTTATTTTTAATGTTTTTGTTTTTGTTTCTTCGTCAACTAAGAACGCTTAACACAAATAATATTTTAAAAAAGTTGGTATTTAATAAATATTTTGTTATTTTGGATAATTTTATTGATGAGATAATTATTTTTAACTTGAATCAATTCAAAAAACGTAGTTCCATTTTAAAGTAAATATGAATTATGATGGCAAGAAATTAAATTTATGTAAATGTTTTTACACAGAATTAAAAAAAAAATATAAAAATACATTGAACTGTTTTTATGGTATGATATATTTGATAGATTTTAAGTAGAAATTTCGGTTAATATTATCAAGTTTAGACTTGAAATGTATTGAATTACGTTTGATATTCTTCAAAGAATATAATATATCTAATACACATTACGTTATGAAATATTAATAGAAAAAAAAATAATTGAAAAAAGATTCTCGATGTATAAATATGTCTATCGTTACAATAATATTGTAGTATATTTAAACTTGAGACAACATTTAAAGTTTTTAATACTAAATTTAAAATTATGAATTGTATCAATATGTATGAAACTAATATTTTTAAATTTATTTAATATCATTGTTAAATTTTTGCTCTATACAGAATTTTAGAACTTGGTGCAGAGAAGTGCGAAAATACTATTTATGTAATATTATTATTGGTTTTACAAGAATTATTTTACAACGTCATCTAAATATTCTAAATCAGTCTATTAGTCTATTCTGTAAATTAATGTAAATGTATACTTAAAATATTTACATTTTATTATTTTTTTCTATATTTTACCATTTTTTAATATATTATTTAAAATTTAATTAAGTGTATTATATTGATAATATTATTAGTTAGTAAATTCAAAAATAATCCCTACTGTTTTTATAATTAAAAACATTTTTTTTTTTTTTAAATTGTAATGATTGAATCTATAATTTAGTCTTAAAAAGCACTTAAATTTAAATTTAAAACAGTATAATTTTATCAATTTATTTATGTTCTTTAGTTATTAATCTATCGAGTGTTAAGACATTATTTTAATATCATTAATTTAATTTGTTTTACTAAAAATTATAATGCTAATGCATAATGGAACGATTAATTAATCCTAAAACCAATTGAGTTAAGCATCACAATGTTGATAAAATATAATCCCTTCCTGTATAAGAATATTCAGAAATCTTTATTCGTCGATAAACATAATGGTTCTACTATTTAAATTATTTACGAGTCATTAAATATTTCTCTTTAAAGTTTAAATTACAAATTATGATTTGTATCATTTTTTTTAAAAATCACATTGTGATGTTTACGGGTTTGTCTTAAACGTATTTATCATTATGATTCAAGATTAAAATAACACATTACCTTATTTTATAGTTAATTAGTATTGTATACTAATTATTTACTGTGCACATAAGTTAATAAACATTGCTATTTTTTGCATTATGAAATTTAATGTTAAATTTATTTTAAACATTTTAATATTTAGTTATTAAGATTTTATTTAATATTTATATAAATTTGTGTGGACTAGTAATTAATATCTTAATTAGTCATTGGTTAAACAAAAATATATTTTAATTAAAATTAACAAAAACAACAATATTACTTTTAACGTTTTATCAAAATGTTAATGTTTTAGATTAATTTGATGAAATTATAAAGTAGATTACTATCGTAATTAAACGCACAAAACAACTTTGTAAGCTACATTGAACATTTTCTTGGCTCATCGCCTAAATGCCTAATATTCATAAATATTGAAATGCCTTATAAATGTCAAAACAGAAGTACTAAGTTTGTTTTAAGCGTACAATTTTGGAACATCATTTTTTACTTTTAAGAAAATATCAAACTATATTGCAAGTTTTGGCAACTTGAACTTAATGTTTATTAATAATTTAATTAATAATGTTAACAAGAATACATTAAAACGTCATTGTTAAATTATACTTTTATAGTTATTGTAGGAAAACTTTTGAAATGGGTACATTTTGATTATTAAAGAAACTTGTTAAACAGATTGAGTTTTTTAAATTGGTTAGATTTCACGTAAAAAATGATCTGCATAGCAGAGCTGTCGCATGAAGATTATTCGCCAATCGTTTCCTTCGTAATTTTCCTGTGCCCGCTGTTTGACGTGAATGTCAAATAAAATCTCACATAAAGAAAAGCCATCCAATAGAATGGTGGTTAAAAAAATGTGTTGAATAATTTTTTTTAAATTTAAATTTGATTTTGATGTTTTTGAGAGTTTATTTTTTTGTTTTTGCTCACAACTGTTTTGAAATTATTTATTAAAAAAAAAAAAAAATAAAAAAATATTTTAAAATTAAAGTCTTCTGAATACCTTTTCAATAGAAAGTACATATTTTTAAACATCAAATGAGGTTATTGAAAAATTTCTTAAAATGTGTGTATGCTTAACCTTCGTACTATAAATCTAAACTTTAAATATACCTTTATGTTTAATATTTGTTTACAATTCAGGGACTATTACATAATCCATTTAAAAGAGTTTTTATTTCGTTTGATACTTTGACGATTATGAATTGTGTAAAGATTTTACTTATTAATTTATCCTAATTTATTACACCAATATTAAATT